CGGGGCTGGGGGACGCCGAGTCCGCAAATATCTTAATAGGTACACCTTGTTTCACAAGCTTGCACGGGCTAAGAATATCTAAAAAACGGGGCTGCGCCCCTCAACTTCACAGTGTTGCATCATGTTCTTATGTTTAGAGACATGGTTAATATATACGTTCAGGGCTCGGGCCCCCCCCCCCCCCAAGGGCCCCCCCCGTGGTGTGTCGGGGTGTGGTTGGCGGGGTTGGGGTTAGGGTTTAGCCGGTTAGGGGTTAGGGTTTAAGGCTGGGGTTAGGTTTAAGGGTTTAAGGTCTAGGGTTTAGGGGAGAGACGGGGGAAACGATTGTGTGTGTGTGAGAGGGGAACCGACGGCCGGCATCATTTGCGCACACAATGCTCGCATGACGGGTTTGGAAAGGATTCGTACTTTTTTGCTGCAAGTTCTCTTCATTGCACCAGACAAGTCCTCTCTCAAAGCGGGTTAACCCACCCCTTCCATTTGCAACCACGGTGCTCGTATGACGGATTTGGAGGGATTTCTATGTTTTACATGCAAGTCTTCATGGAACATGCACGAGCTAAAGATGAATATGCCATTGGGGGGAGGCCAGATTGAGGATTTTGAGGTTGAATGGCCTAGGCCATTTGGCTGTATTCTTGATTTCCAGTCGTTTTCTGAGTCGCCGTCCTGCTTTCTGACTCGTGCCCCATGCCGTTTTCTGACTCACGCCGGCCGGTTTTCTGACTCGGTCTTTATCGTTTTTTGACTCGGTCCATCCCGGTTTCGATTCGTGTTCCCGACACGACCGATCCGAGTGGATAAGCAATCCTGAGATGTCCAACGAGCAGAAAGCAGAAGGTGGGAGAACAAGGCCTAACAAGGCCCCGCTCATATTCTCATAAGCTCCATCAGTGGAAACAAGCTCTGCGCACGCAGGACCAAGAAGAAAAATGGACGGCCGCGCTGCTTCCCGGCTTGATATTATGGGGTGCAACTTGTTGTTGGAGGAGTATGTGACAGGCTGGAATGTAGAGATTCCGTGCAATAATGATTATGTGATGGGCCTGAGTAAGTGTGATGGAGCCAGAATGTATTTAGTGGCAGGCAACTATTTTGGTTCTCGCTCTCTCCCTTTCCGTCTTTGTGGCTCTGTGTGTGGGAGTATGCGCACACGCGCATAGAAGCAGGAGATGTGCGAGCATCGACCAGACTTCAATTGCAGCCTTTGGGTCTCTCCTTGCGACACATGCGGATGTATTGGGGGAGAGGCCGGGCGAAAGCTGTGATTGAGCTTCTGGACAGGCAGCCTCATTCATGCCTCGCGGGTCCCGGGCTTTCTGGGTGCGGCAGTTCAGTGCAATAGGACAGGATTGAACTATTGGCCCATGTTGCCATATTGGCCCTCTGTCAGGCTGAACGCCCAGCTGAAGGCCATAGCCAGGTCGCCCGCTCTTCGTCAGAATGGGGACAAGAACCTCGGCAAGCATTTGCTCATGAGGCGGAAGTATCCAGCTTTCATATCCAGCCCATGCGATAGCACATGCCGAGAACACTATACTTCAGCAGACATGCAAACGACAGACATGCGGTCGAACATCTTTCATATCTGAGCCATTTAGAGTCATATGGCGGCATACCACGGAGTTTGCGACAATTATGGTGCGAGTGGCATGCAGGTAGCTGTTGATCCGAGGTTCCTTCCGCCTTTGACAGTCGCGCCCTAAGCTTTCTGGCAGCTTATGTACTGCGTGTTGTGGCATGATGTAGACTCACCAGTTGCAGTGTACCCGCCTTATCCAGGGCGCGCGCGAATCCTGCTTGTAGCAGCAACGGCAATTGGTAAATGGTAACGTATGTTCCAACTCATTCACTGAGCCCTTAAAAACACATGCGATTTCGCCTCGTTGTGCTCAGGGATTGGGCAAGTGCACCATCGGCCCTGTCTTTGGCCCTGTAAATTTCGCCGACCTGATGCCGTGGCGTGGCAGCAATTCCGCCCAGATAGTTACAGATAGTTCGTCCGTTCGTCCTGCGCCAACTCATGGTACTGAAGCGGGCAAGGGCAGCGTTTTCATGAACTGCCTATCGTTGGCAGCACGAGCGTCACGTGCACGCGAGAAACGCGAGAATGCAGCCTCAATCCAAAGGGTGATGACTGCAAGATGGAAGGACAGGCTACCCGGCTGGACCAGCTGCGGACCAGCTTGGTGGAAGTGTAGTAGTGCAGGTGCGGCAAGCTGATGGGGGTGGGGGGGGGGGAGGCGCATGAGGCGATGTGGGTACTTGTACAGCGCATCAGCTTCCTACATGTCGTAGATCATGGCAACATAGACTTCAGACAGACCCGAACGCAGGACATACACATACAATATATGGTCTTGGGCCCTGGACTACCTTCCATGGTATCCCCCCCCACCTCCATGAACCAAAAACACAGGCTGAGGAGGAAGGTCAAGCGGCAGGCACAACATGTTCCACACGGGAGGGGAGGGATGGAAATCTATCTGAACTCAAAAAGAAGGGGATGATCTACGTAATTACTCCCCTCGCACCCCCCATGGAGTGGCTATGAAGCAGTTGTAGGGGTTAGGGTTTCGGGCTTCTGGTACTGCAGGGTTCAGGGGCTTAGGTTTCAGGGCTTGGGGTTTGAGGGCCATGAGTCTTTAAGTCCTCAACGGGCCTTTAAGACTTGCAGAGTCCCCGCCCCCCTACCGGACCATACCATGGGGGGGGGGGGGGGGGCGAACGCTAGACGCCTGACATAGCACACCGGCTCACCATACCCATTCCCTCGGCTTTCGGCGTACACGGTGGGCTGCGTGGTGCAAGGCTGGCACGATGCCCAACAGCAGAGCAGATATACTCTCGCAGCTCGATGAGACCTGTACAGTCGTTCATGATAAATGGCCATGAATACCAGCTACGCATGTTGACCCGAGCAGTTCGGCTTCTGCCGATTGCTCAAAGCGGCACTCTCCGTCAGCAGAGCAATGCCTGAGAGCTTAGCAGGATCTTAGCACGAAGCACCTGAGAGATGCAGGGCGAAGCATGCGAAGCTTCGACAGGGTGGCACAAGGATAAATACGACGGGCCGAGCGGCTCGCCCTTTAGGCTTCTCTAGCGGAATTGTGAGAATTTCTCGGACAGGCCTAGCATTGATTTGCAGTACCAAGTTGTAGCTATTCGTGATCAGTTAAGGGCGAAGTTTGCCGTGGACTTGGGGGACTTCAAGTTGCCACAAGTGCCCCTCGGGCCGCTGGAAGTGAAGGCCTGGCATAAATTCTTGGGGCTTTGAGCAAGGAGTCCAGGAGTAAAAAGTGGCCAGCGAGAGGTCCCTTGTGACCTGGGGATTGGTGGTGACATCGGGCCCTTGATTGAGCTGCTCGGCCGAATACATTATGCTGACTTTTGGCGCATGAAGTGACTAAGTCTACAGCACACCCAGGATGATGGTCAAATTGCCCACCATGAATGGCACCCTTACCCGCTTGGCAGCCTTGTGCCCTGGAGACCATTCATTTGAATTTGATTGTTTTTTCCTGTCCCATTGCTGACCTTTGTTTAGAGGATGGTACTGTGGTTGAGCAGACCGTGGCTTGCGGAAGCTAGAAGAGCTGCTTTTCGTCATCGCACTGTCATGACGATTCATCAGCCTGCCAGACGGGTGAGTGGTCGCTGGCATACTGGGTTTGATGCTTTTCAGACTAATTGGCAGCAGCCTCGGCAAGGTGTATCGTCCTCCCATTGCTTGCCATCGTGTTGGAGGACAATGTGCGTGCTAATCCTGTGGCACTGATAGTTCCGGAGCGGTCTTTCTCTGTTTAATATGTGTCATTGCCTGCATTTGGGCTTGCCGCACATCAGGCATGTTGTCGTTTGTTTGGCTGTGGGGGCAGATGGGGCTCAAAGCTAATTACTGATCCTGTCCTCCCACGACTCTGGCATATGGGATGCTCATTGAGGACCTTTCTCAGAGTCCTCGCATAGCACGGAAGTTCACAGTGCAAACGCCCGTCCCGCCGGAGATGCTGACTCTGGAGGCCAGCGCCGCGCGGGTGTCGCAGTAATCGCCACGGGAAAGAGGAAAGTAGACTGGCCACAGTGGCCGCATGGTAACACCTGGGAGGATGAAGACGTTCGAGCCGAAAAGGAGCGGGTCGCTTCTGTGGATCCACGCAAGCAGGCAATGTCCTGGCATTCTTGTGGGCGTAATGGGTGCAAGGCCTGAGCACGCCTGGTGAGACTTCCGCACTTTTTCTTTGCCCCTGCAGGTTATGTATGTCAATGGCCTTCGCAAAGCCTATGGGTCGCTTCTGAGCTCGAAGGCGCGTTGTTGTGCCCGGGTCTCCGGGAATGGACGGGGCGCCCCCGTACTCTGCACACAACCATTGATCCATTACAAGTTTTATGTGAAGCCCGCAGCCTGCTGCCGCAGCTTGTCCGTCCAATGTTTTGCGCAGGTCACCCATGCTGTGCGAGGCGTCACATGGGCCGCAGATCAGGTGAGGCAGTTCACGTCGTTGCAGTGCTTTGATCTCAGTTTGCAATATTTTGCGATAGTAGCTGTTCGCAATTGGGCAGGGAATGGTCTTCGGCCTGCTGGGCGTCAATGGTGCAGGGAAGACGACCTCCTTCAAGCTCATGTCAGGCTCGCGAGGGTCTGACTGGTAGGGTGACCCACGCCTAGGCACCATGGCGAGGAAGCACGGAAGGTGCTGAGTTTGTCAGCGCTTGGCATCACCCCGCATGAGCATGAAAAGTCCGATTTCAAGCTTGAGCATGGCTACATCAAGCCCACACCATTCATGGCTGAACGTCGCAAGGAATTCTGACCCCATCAGCTGGGGAAGTTCGTGTGCTGGGCCGCTAGAATGCAGGAAGACACTGTTGTAGTGGTGATGGTGGTGGCGTGGTGGCTGAGAGCATGGCGTAGGCATAGGACCATCTTCGGTCCCCAGATTTGTGGATGCACGTGCCAAGCAGTGCCAAGCGGCTCCAATGTCAGTCCAGGCATTGACATGGTCGAGGAGACCAGCCGGGCCCGACGATTGATCGGAGCCTCAGAGCAGAAGTCGCCCAAAGTGTTTTTTCATTTTTTTCACGACATGCAGCTGATCCGGGGGGGGGGGGGGGGGGGGGGGGAGGGGCGTTGCTCCGAGGATATTGCCCGCAGTTTGACGCGCTCATCCACGTGATGACGGTCGAGTCACATCTGTATCTGTACGGCCGTATGAAAGGCGGGCGTTTTTTCTTTGTTCGCCGAGTGCTGCACTCGACGCCTCGCGAAGAGACTTTGCGGGAGCAGGGTCTCCGAAGTCCGAAGTAATTAATGAATGTTGAGGCCACAAGCCGAAGGTACAGTACTGCAGCTTAAAAGTGTGTGCAGGACTAACAGGGAAAGACTTGAGAAGAGCCGCAGCTTGGCAATGAAAGCAAAGCATTGACTGTCTCGGTTTGCCATCTTGTTGCAAGAGATGAGGTCTCGGCTCCTTTCCCTCTTGCAAGACACTGGATTTCTTAATACCGTGTCTGAGGTCGATGAGAAAGTCGAGGACACCACCGATGTTATGCTTTTAAGCATCCACACTGGACTGCATATGAAAGGAGATGCAGCTTTCCCAATACCGTTTCCGTCGAGCAGGCACGCTGTCGGGCGGTGCGGGTACTCAGCGGTTCTTTGCGTTCTCGGCAGGCTGCGCCCGTGTGACGTAGGTAGTTCCTCAAGAGCGCCGACAGTGTCACAACACCCAGGCAACAAGAGGAAGCTGTCTGTCGCAATGGCGCTCATCGGGGAGCCCCCCGTCATCTTCCTCGACGAACCCAGCACAGGCCCTGATTCGTATTCCTGATCCCCATGAAGAGTTCGTATTCGCGATGCCTCATGTACTACAACAGTTCCCTTGGAGCAAGCAGATGGGTTATCGCTATCACTATAACAAGCAAGTCTTTTGCAAAGCTGCCAGACACTTCTACCACATGGAAGAGTCCAGATCAGCCAAATCCTGCATTGAATTGTGCTCGCGTTGAGATGACTCCTCATCGCCGGGGTGGCAGAATACCCGTCCGTTCGTGATTTGTTGTTTGCACGTGCCACTTCATGCTGTGTAGGGTTCTCTGATAAATTTGATGCTTGTTTCAGTGTAATGCCTTTCGGTGGCAGAGGCATGGATCCATTTGCGCGACGCTTCATGTGGTCTGTCATACAGGCAACGTGCCAGCAAAGAGGTAAGAAATCACTGGATCAAGCCTGTATCCGATGCCCATAAACTCGCCGAAAGAGGCTGCTCCAACATTTGTCCAAGCTGCAACACAAAAGCGCATGAGCTTCGTTGGGCATCTTTGCTTTCTCCGAATCAGGATGTGGCAGAGAAACGCAAGCAATCCGTTGTGGTCCTCACCACACACTCCATGGAGGAAGCGGAGGCCGAACAGTGCGGGAATCTGGAGATTCTCTAAGCTTCCAGAAGCTTCCTTTCTCTGTTGCTGTTTGGTTCCTGCCTTGAGCCAGGCCCTGTGCAGCAACATCGCCATTCAGGTTGATGGGCAGTTCCGCTGCATCCTGGCATTATCTGGCATTAAAGGAGCAGGATACAGCAGGATGGCCAACGATTGAGAGAGCATCTGCTGACTAAGGTCTTGGCTCCGCACAGCACCTCAAGTCCAGGTATGGATCAGGCATGTTCTATAGCGTGTCCTCGAAGACTTTTCTCGTCCATCTCTGTTTATATCCGGCGAGCAACCCTGCCAAATATGCAGATCTTGTTGTTTAGCTGGAGCTGTAGCGATCATGATCCTTTTTATGCAGTACCGTGCCATGTGCCAGGCTACGAGGTAAGCATCAAGTTCAGAGCCGTGCCGCGTGAGGTACTTGCTGCTTGTTCCATTGGGGTGAGAGAGACATTACGTGACCTGCCATCTGTTCTGATGCAAGGCGCTGGTCCAACTCGCTGCCAAGTTCCTGCCCGCAGGCTACTGCAACCTGACAGTCGTGACAGAAATTAAAAAAAACTACCAACTCTCCATGTTTGTTTGCCTCTGCCGAGCAAGGGCGCGAATTGGATCGGAGTGGCTATTCGATGGTCTCACGATCGCAGGCGTGCAGCTGCAATTAGGCAACTGGCAAAGAACCATCTCGCTGATGCTCGGCATCAGCCAGAGAACGCATGTCTCGACTACATGATAAACTACAGTGAATTACAGTGGCAACATGCACTTTTTCGAAACCTTTTTCAGGCCATGGAGGCCTTGCCGCTTGAACTTCGCACAGCCGCAGCGCTGCCGTCTGGTCCCTTGCCTCTGGAGATGCAGGCTGACATGTGACTTGCGGCAACTGTGTTTGCGAACAATTCGTCAAGAGTCGAGGCCTCTAATACGCCGTTGCGAGCACAACAAAGTTGATGTCAGGGATCTAGCATGCTTGAGTTCTGGCTCGGTTGAGTCACACCACCTACAGTGGATGTCCATGCATGGTGCAGGACGTGGCTGCCGAGGTCGTGGCAGAGTGGCAGGCAATGTTGTTACCATGTTGCTGAACACGGTCCGCGGTTTGGTGCTCTCGTGGTTTCCAATCAGCTCAGCGAGCAGCTGTTAGCAGCAGATTCAGTGCGAGACTGGCTGTTGCTCTCTGCGGGTGACTTCAAGCCTGCTGATTTAAACGGGGGATTGGTTCAAGGGCCCCGTAAAGGAGGCTCCCGGATGAAGGGAGGCTTCAGGCTTTGCGTTCATGATCAAAGCCCGATAGTCTTTGTTTGAATCAGCAGTGTGGAAATTGGATGCCCTTGCCCTTATAGGCCAGGCAATGGCCTACAGCAGTTGCAGTTGAACATCTGGGCAACTTCCAGCAGTTGTTTGTAGCTGACAGTGAGCTGCTATGGCTGAATGCGGGCAGGTCATGCAAGATCGCCTGGAGCAGTTCAAAGGCTGGGGCAGTGAATGGGTAAGCTTAAGGTAAGACATGCTCAACTTGAGCTGTATGAGCTCCACCATCTTCCTGATAGGTTTCTTCTCTGCTCCTGCGCCGGAGGGCTTGGCAGAGCTTCAGCTGGGTGAGGCGGGATGCTGTCAGATGCTGTCGTTGTCTTATGTTGTCTTCGGCTTCCCAAGCCGTAAGAGCGTGGCAAGCTTGTGAGTTTCCTCCCCTCAACCCCCCCCTCTCTCTCTCTCTCTTTCCACCCCCCTTCCCGTACTGGTACCCTCCCCTCCCTTGTGAGTCAGGCCCTTCAATCAGAGACGCACCCTGGAGAAATGAAAAGAAAACGCAACTAGAAAACAAGCAGCAGCGGCACTAGCGGCACCAGCGGCGGCGGCGGCGGCGGCGGCAGCAGCAGCAGCAGCAGCAGCAGCAGCAGCAGCAGCAGCGATCGCGGGAACAAGGCATGGCGCAGCTCAGGGATGTCGGGTAAGGCGTGCAGGCTGTTTTCTGAAAGCACCGCAGTCATTCGCAGTCATTGGAAAGGTGCACGGGAAGCTTTAGCCGGCCCTTCGACCAGGATCCCCTGCGTCATCTACATGTCTTTTGCTAACGCCCATGGACCATGGAAACTGTAAATACTGACATGTATGATCTGGAATGGCCCTGAATGGCCCCGATGTAACGCCGTCTCAGCATCATTCCAGACCAGTCTCTGAAATGTTTTCTGTTCGCCCAAGTTTTGGTATGGCCACTGTTCACAAATTTCCAAGATCACGTTTTAGTTCGTTCTATCTTTCAGGCACGCGTGCCTTAACAGACTCAGCAGCTCAAATCCTACAGCAATCCAAAGCCTGTCAAAGCTCTAACGATAATCGACACTCAACAGAGGTCCTAGTCCTGGAATTCCATGGCAGCTCGCTGCGCCTGCGGCTGCCAGCTGCGGGTGAGGAGTCACTTGGTCCGGAAGGGACAAAAGGGGCTTGAACTCTGGGACCACCCATCACATCAGTGATCATCAGTGGCTATGGCATTTGGCAGTCTGAAGGGTTGGCAATTTGTTTGCAAGTCGCGGCTAAACACAAGGCAGCTGCCCAAGCTTTTCGAGGCCTTGTCTCAGGCTCGGGGAAGGGTGGGGACGTCCATTACCGTGCGCCTTTGTCTTGACATTATTCTCGGATGTTATACCCTGAGGCCAAGACACGGTTTGGCTTGAGCGACTTCTCCGTCTGCTTTGGACTTGGTATGACTTTGGGGGGAGGGCTCGAGTAGGGTGGTCTGAGGCTGATACACGACTTTGCGAGGTCAGTCCTCTTTGGAGCAAGTCTTCAACAGTTTCGCTGCCGAGCAAGAGCAGGAGAGGAAGGAGCCACCGCCCACTAGATTCTGCCAACACTGCATATCTGTGCGGTCAGTGTCACGTGTCTGTGCCCAGATGCCATCAGGACTGAGTCTCCCAGAGGATGGCACAAGAGCAGAGTTAAAGCACTTGGCAGACGGCTCTAAAGTGGCAGCTGAGCTCAAAATCGTGGGAGCAGGTGCCTGGGTCTGCTCCGCCTTGGCTTGGCTCTATAGGGTCTCACCCGCATGGGCGCATGACAACAGATGCGCAGTGATTGTGGCGCACGATGATGCACGAATGAGGCACGCTTGATGCGTGCCGAGTATGTACTCCAATATATCGCGCGCAATGTTTAAATGATTAATTAAATTAAAGTCTAAAGCTTGTTGGCATGGTCATCGATAGACGCATGTTTGGTGGTATCGAAAAGCACGACATACCGGGAAGGGGATCTTGCAACGCGACTACATGTATCGCAGTACGACGTAAGTGGAGCGGCGGCACATCCGAACCGGAGCCAGACCGCGTGTCAGGGCGAGAAAAAAGGGCCAACACCCCCTCGCAACCAAGATGCCTTGGCTTGGGGATGTTCCCGTGAAAACGATTAGCTCCCAGTGTAGGGTTGAGCATGTTGGTGGGCTTGGTTCCCGACCTTGAGGTGGGGCTTCTGAGCAACTTAGTGCCTTCAACACGTGGCGTTTGCATAGGCATGCGCTGGGAACTCTTGCTGCGAACGCAGAGTTCAGTAGCTGGTGTTATGGCAGTTTTTTCCAGTGTGCAGAGGGCGCTAATCTGGGAAAGGTCGCGAGGTTTGTCGGTTTTTCGAGCATTGTTTGTTCAGTGTGTTCTGAGGCCAGAAAACCAAGGGAGGCTGTACAGCATTCCGTTGATGGACTGGCTGGCTGACAAGTACAAGGACGCATGTCTGTTCATCTTCGCTGGGGGGACGAGCTGGTTGACAGGTGCAGCTTCGTCGCGCTTGTCAGGACGAGTTTGACAACTTCTCCGAAAAGATGACGAGCACTGCGTAGTATTCTCAGCATTTCTTGGAGACTCATGAGACTCATTGTGCGGTGGAATTGTCTAACTTGTACAAGCACGGCCGTGATGTGCAAACCAGGCTTGTTCGCGGCTTCACGTGGCCAAAGGCATCAATTGTTGTGCATCAGCCTTCGTAGCCGCTGTTCGCGAGAAGCCTGCCCAGCTGGTATAGCCAGGCCGGCAAAGTGTGGGGGAAGTATACCGACGAACACTGGGAAAAGCTGAGCGGCTCGGCTGCATGCGTTAGCATGCCTGTTTTCCCATGAGAACATACTAAGCAAGCTGCCAGGAACATGTCGCAAATAATAGTTGCGTGACGCGACAGCTCTCTTGTCCCCGCTTAATCCTAGGCTTCTGGGCATCCATGCGCCTCCAAACGCTTTTCCGGACAGTTGCGGGCATGATGCTGGGAGCTTACATGCACCATGTGGACGTAAATTGCCGATTGCTGGTTGCAGTTGTTTTGTGGCCTGCTGACTGAGCAACTGGCACGCTCGTGGGCAACAGGACAGAAGAGTAAAACATCTGCTTGTAATTGGCGCTTGGGGTTGAGCCATACAAATGGATGAGGCACTACCACCAGGCGCTGCAGTGCCACTTTGAAGCCCAGGGCGATCGAAGAAGCAAGTGCCGCCCTTGTTGGACATAAGTTTGAGAAGGGGCAATGTTGTCCGACACAGCTGCACATCCGAGCGCTCCAGGCTCGGACAAGTATGGGACCCAAGTGATGCCTTCACCTGCATCGCCGAAGCCTTATGACAACACACGCAGAAGCCAGTTATCCTGCCAAGCACGGCATCAAGAGTCAAAAGAGGCACATGTCTGCACGTTTCCTGTAAAGAGACCTCCGACAACGGCTTTTCATTTTGCAGCACGGTGGACCATCATGGGCTTGCTTGAGGCTTCAGGCTTTGGCTTGCAAGTTCTTGGGACCTCAGCAACAATGCAGCCTACTCCTATTTGGTCTGGAATCTGAAGGCTCTACTAGTGACTAGTGGAAAGGACTGGAGGAATTTTCGCACATTGGAAAAGGAGTTCGGGGTCCTGAGTGGATCCCTGCGAGCCGAAAAGCCCCATACTAAATGCAGACAGAAGCACACACACACAGAGACAGATGTGCAGACCCGTGCCCTAGCAGGCCGTGCCGAGGAAACATGCGACTCTTGGATTGTTGAATGCCATAAACTCTTCAAGAAACGAAGGAAGAGATGAAGAAATAGAGGAGAAGGAGGGGGGGGAGGGGGTGACGCCGCGATGTTTTCGATGGAGGCCGGAGCTGTGCCTCGGGAAGTCCTCCCCTTGTAGCTTTCTCACTAGGTACAGGGGAATCCCCTTCAACGCAAATGCAAATTAAATGCAAAGGCAAAAATCGGTTCAAATGTGTGAAGTTTTCTCTGTGTGGATCGTGGGTTTCAGAGCGGGGCAAAGCGGTGGCTGGCTCTAACCCCAAGAACCGGCAAGGGAGGAGGGCCGACAAGAGAGGTGGTTCGTCTGCTGGGTTCCGTTTCGTTCCCCCGGCTCTCGAGATGGCACGAGTTGCAGCGTGTTGAAAAGAGGCTGCATTGAAGTCCATTTGTGGGTTCCTAGTCGGAGATCTTGTGTATATGGTTTCGACTTCTGGCACACCTGGCAAATGTTGGTTGAGATCTGCGGCGGTTCTCGAGCATGGCAACCTGTATCCTGCATCCCATTCTTCTTCCAGACAATGTGATCGTGTGCGTCAGCGGCAGCCGCCGAACATTGGAAGGTGGCCATGCAGATGTACGCTTTCTTCAACCCGATGCAGCTCAAGCACACCAACATCATGCCCCTTGCTTTGGCGGTGCTGGTGTTTGGCGTAAGGATCAAGCAAGGTACTTTGCCCTTGCAGGATAAAACCAGGTGGCCGAAACCATGTACGGTACACACCTCTCTCTTGCAGACACATCCCAGGTTCCGGAAGTTTCCTCGGTCCATGAAGGCCTTTGCTGCAGCGCCACCCCGGGCGTTCGGAAGCCAACTTTGACCTTCAATGATGGATGTGACGGCTCAGCTGCTAGAATGATGCGAGCGATTCCTAGCAGCTTGTGCATGTTCTACCTGTTATCATAGTCTTTCGGTCATTTAGTGGACTCGGATTTGCTCTTGAGTGGGCGGGGATGGGCGGGGCTTGGGTTGCACTTCATGCACTTCTCTGAGCAGTCCGAGATGATGTTCACGCTATGTCTGCAGCACGTCTTAAGTCCTTGATGAATTGGATCCCTACGTGGCGGTCTGCAGGTCGCATTTATCGATTACGAAGACTTGGAGGTCCGGAAACAGAGCAGCAGCGCAAGGTTGCACTTGATTGAAGTCTCACGGAGGGCGGACTTATCAGGCAACTCATCAGCCTGATGGCATCCATGAGAATCAGAAGCGGCGATACTACAGCTGCCAGGGCCTTGACAACGCCCCGTCGTGCGAACATGTTTGGTCTTGGTTTGGTAGTTGCGTGAAGTTGGATGTGAGTCTCTGCGCAGTTACTGTACCCCGCGACCAGCTAGCAGTCCTTTACCCGAAGCCCGTTTCGGTTTGGCTGCGTTCGCATGCAGGCTTGATTGATGCCAGCTGCCCACCGGACGAGACCGGTCGACGAAGGGCAAAGTACAAGATCGAGCTTCCAGGGCTCAGAGCCCGGACATTCGCTCTTCAACATGTCGCCTTGTGTAGCCTTCTCTTGAGCCGGCATCTGCACACAGAAGATGCTGCAAGGTTTCCTATTCTTGGCGATGGCAAGGGTGACAACCAGAATACGGCCATTCCTTTTACTCGTGGGACTTACGTACAGTGCATCGATGCCAACCAGGCAGGCAACACGTCCACTTGAGGGCCAAAGTGGTCAGGTGTCTGGGGGCTCGATGGCGCTACATACAGCTCTGCACATATCACAATTTGAGGGACAACTCGCTACAGTAGCCATGCTGACATCTATAGACTCTGAAGGCACACTTGTTAGGCAAACTTCTCCTTGCAGGGTGCTTATTTCGAGCAGATGCTCCTCTTGCCCAACGTTCTTGGCGAGTTTCGTTCAGAGCGCCGGGGCAAAGGAGGCACGGTCCTGGTGCGCAGGGTCATGTGCAGTCCACCGTGGCTTAGCAGAGTCCCAATGGCGGTGGGGGAGGGGGTGCTCAATGCGTCAAAGTAGTTTAGAGCAAAAGGAGGAGGAGTAAAAGCAAGGTTCTTGCGTCTTTCTCCTCCACTTCAGAGACGCCGATTCTTTGCGTTGGCTTTCTGCTCAGTGTTCCGGGGCTCGAGTTGAGCTGAGGAGTTGAGGCCATGCTGGAGCTTGATGTAAGTCTGAGGGTGAAATTTGCAGGTATGATTCGGTATGATCTTTATGAATTTTGCTTAAGGGGGCTTAAGGGGGGAAGCTTGATTTTGAGGACGAACAGGGGGCTTGAGAAGGGGCTTCAAGTCCCTTCGAGAATGATGAGCTTCAGACTTCTGACATTCAATGTGAAAGGGCTTCGAAGAGGCTTCAAGGGGGCTTGGAAGGGGCTTGACGGGGGACTTGAGAAATAATTCTCGAAGGGGGCTTGAGAAAATTCCAAAGCTTCACTCCTTTATGAGTGGAGAATTTATCCTAAATTCCACCTCCGTGCGCTGCACTTTGCAACCCTGCCAAATCGTTGGACAAGGAATGGATAGTGGATAGCGCAGTTGATGACATCTCGCCGTTCCTTGAAAGGTGCCAAGGTGAATGTGAGGAGTCTCGGGTCAGAATTAGCATTTCTTGAAGGGGAAGCGTTCCAAATCAAGGATGTGATAACGTGCGAGGTGTGTAACCTCCGGCCCTCCGGTCTAACTTTACTCAGGGACTCGGGTTGAAGAGTCTCAACATGACTCAACCATGCTCAGCCCTTCTGAAATGGAGCTGTGGAGATCGCTACGTATCATCACGCTTTTGACAACCAAGAGCCATGGAGCAAGCAACTTTTGAAGGGGAAAGCATCGTTCAGTGCCAGGCTGAACGAAGGAAGTATAAGGAAGTCGTGGGATTGGCGGCTGGAACTATCTAATTATGCACATGCCAAAATGTCACATGCACCGAAGTGCATCGGACCCGCACGCGTGCATTGAAAGTGAGGCATTGAAAGTGAGGACCATGCTGATGCTAGGTCACCCTTCGCTTGGGCACGTGAGGGTGATCCAGATGAGTGGGCTGATGGGGCCGATGGGGGGGTGGGGTTGGTCGGCAGCAGCCGAAAACCAAGCTTAGATGAGGCCAGGTGCGGCGCTGGCAGCGCAAGCTTGTGCACATGCATGTGAGGGTGCGTGTTGGCATGATCTGTGGCGCTTGCGCCGGCGCAGCATGCTAAGCATGCTACAGAGACTGATAATGCGCCTTCTGTATGTGCGACAGGTGGCAAAAAGATCATAGGATTTCCGGAGCACATCACCAGCTGTCTGCTCAGCTCTGTGAGCCTTGGGGTTGTGGCTGAGGGCTTTTGAGCTTTGTTCATGAAGGACCGCGCGCTCAACGTGAGTGGCACAACATGACGCAAGTGAGAAGTGCAACTGAGGTGACTTCGGTTCGGTCGGGGACTTTGCAGCTTCCTCGGAGCTGGCCTTTGGCGGGGGCCCAAGAGAGAACCTCCAAGCTATGATTGTGTATGCCAGTGTCGATAGCAGTGTCTACGACATACACGTGATGTTAGCGGAAATGAAATGAGCGTGCTCTGTTCTACACACGGCTCCCAAGTCCTCAGGTATCATGCGCTTGTGCTTTCGCTTTGTGCATGTGTCCTCAGACACCGCAGGGCAGGGCCCTGGCTCAAGGCATTGGCCGCTGCATGTGCCGTATCGTGCAGTTACTTCTCCCATCAGTTCAGGACACAACAAGCTGTTTCAACCGTCGGCATTCCCAGGGTCTGCACACAGGGAGCTGGCAATGTTTGAAATCCGCCCATGTGAGCCATGCTCGACATGGCTGTGGGGACACATTCCTGTGAGAAATGGTCGGAGTTGCAGCTGGGCCTGACGTTCCTGGCAGCATTACAAGAGCTTTCAAAAAAGCCTCTCGATGTTGTCGGCCCATGTCGGTCCTTTTAGCGCATGTTCGAGTGATTGATGGTGATTGCACGTGAGGTTCTTCTCTGACCGGAGGAGGTCGAAGGCGGAAAAGGCGGAGCTGCTTCTCCACCGCTTCGAGGCTTTGCGGCAGCTGCGTCACCCGAGTCTGTGCCGTGCCTCGATTGCCTTTCCGGGACGCGGAGCAGTATCTGCACGAGCGCAAGTTGAAGTCTTCCCAAACTTTCGAGCTTGCACAGTGCTTTTGTGGTCATGTCCATATTATAAAAGGTCATTGGTTTGGGGGCACAGCTTTCACCTGACATTTTTTAATTCGGAGGATGTGGCCTTGACGGCAGAAATCCGAGGCTACTTGGAAATCCTGGTGGGTCATGGCTTGGTCTTCATCGCTAGTGAGCACCGCTCGCTGACCCTAGCTTCCGTCTTGAGTCGGGCTGCAAAGGGCCTGCAACAGACTGTTGCGAGGAGAGGGCTTTTGCGAAGCGTGACGGGAAGAGAACAGCCCCATAGTCACGCAGACTTTTGCTTGTCGCAGGAGTATTGTCGCCCAGGTTGTGCAGGCACAAGTGCAGCCCTTCTGGGTTTGCGTTTCGCGCTCCTGTTCAAGTTGAGTTGTATAGTTGGCCACGATGGGATCTTACAGCTTCTTGTGCCGACGAGTCCGCTGTGTCCGCCAAATGTATGAGGGCATGCAAATCACAGTGCCACAGACACAGAGCCCTCGAATTGATCTAGCCGGATCCCTGCCAGGGGCTTTGCCACCTCAACTCGCACGCCTTGGTCCATGGACATCTAGACGCTGAAGCAGCACCTAAGCCAGCACCATGTGCTTGGGTTAAGGATGGGAGGGTAGGTACTACATTTATAAAGCCCCATGCCAGCCTGGCGCTGCTAGCAGCACCTTGCTGTTATGGATGCGGTGGAGGAGAGCCACAGAGAAAGCGAGACAGGGCGGAGGGCAGGCAGTGCATGTACGAGGTTCAGTTGGGGGATCAGGTAGGTTCGCAGGTAGGGTTGCTTGGGGCGTGTCACCAGGAAACTCGCTTTTCAGTACCAGGCCGTGCAGTGTGTGTACGGGTGGAAAGTGAGGACAACATCTATGATCTACAACTTGTGACTCTAAGAGCCTGCTGAGGTCTTGTTCGACGAAGGGTCCATTGATGATGAGAACCTTGCCCACTGCAGAGTCCTCCTCACCGGCCATGGGTCTCTCCACCTGCAAGAATGCTGCCGTCAAAAGTGCAAAGTTGCGATGCTTCGACGGCCACCATTAGGCTGGGGCACCTTCTGGCTTACGGGCGAATGGCAAGCTGCTACCCATTGGCTCCGGAGGAATCTGCACTCAAGGGCCCGTGCTTCGCAATCTTTCGTCTTGTAGCCTATGTCTTCGCGTCCTAGCCAGTACAGTAGCCATCGCCAGCCATTAGCAGTGTAGGAGCAGCCTGGTATTTGAACTGCCTCTGAGACAGGACCCCTGCTGCCTGGCTCCTGAAGTAGCCCGAGCATCTCAGCGGAGCAGATCTTGTTGCGAAGCCCTGCAAATTGCCTTGGTTAGGACGGTTAGGCCAACATTTGTCACCTTGATAGAAGTCTTGATTGCTCAGACAAACTCGCCCAGCAGCATCCGGCAGCAGCAAGATCTTCTCAAGTCCTCTTCAATCGCTTGATCTCGCTTGAGGCATGCGCTTCCACAATCTCACCAGTGTCGCCGGTGAGCGAAGGCCCAAGCTGCCAGCCAGATGTTTGGGGCCTCGGCGTGGTATTGTTGTGCCTGGGCCAGACAGTGAGAGTTTTGTTTAACCGTGCAATGCATCGAACATTTCAGCAACATGATTGGTAAAATGTGCTGTGCTGGCGGTTGCTTTATGGGCAGTGGCTGGCACAGCATTTCCAGAGGCAGATGCTGCAGGGTCGATGGCAAGATTGGCTGGTCACGGAAGGAGCTTGCACACATGAGAACAACAGGTGCTGCTTGAATCATCTGTACCTGTTTTGCCTTATGTGAAGGAATCGACAGCACGCCGCAGCTTTGCCACATCGTCGCCGTGGAGACGTCTGCCGCGCAGCCGATTCAAGCATACACTGTTGGATTCTGGAAGCTGCAGGTCCTAGATCCTAAAGTCCAAAAGCGTGAGGATGGAGGCTGATGGAGGTGTTGGTTGAAGTTGAAAAGTTATGCTGGCGGTAAGGTGGAGCTTTGGGGCACATCTCTTAGTGGTGCAACCTCTGGCATCACGCTGCGGAATCTGCGGCCTGGTCTGCAAGATAATTTTCTCTTCAGTCTGGGCTAAGCACCTATGATTCAATGATGCTGCAATGGTCGGAGGCTCAAAAGCCGTCAGATCGCGCCTCTGCGCGCCGAGCCCCGCGTGCTGCGAGCTGGAGGTGGTCAAGAGTTTTTCCTAAGTCCATGTGAACAACCTACCCTCGCGCGTCTCTACATCTTTGAGACCACATCCAGTTTTGCTTGTAGGCAACTGGTGTTTCTGTGCTTTGGGTCGTTTGTTTGGCCACCTGATCTTTCACAGGCACTCGTTCATAAGTAATTGTCTGAAACTTCTGCAGCTGCAGCGCTTCCCTGCTCTCTCGTGGCGCCATCCAACCAAAGACAAAGACCAATCCAACATGATGTGTGGATTGTAGAAACAAAGTCGAGGGGCCTGTCCTTTTCCCACCAGCCTTTATTCCATCTCCTTTCTTTTCAACCTTTAAAGAGCGTCGGGGGGTCGGGCGGGGGCGCAACCCCCTTCCCAATGTTTTGCAGAGACACAATGCTCGCATGCAGGGGCTTGCAATGAATTCATGTGTTTTCTGATGATTCTGATGCTTTAAAAACGGGGGGTGTTGGGAAAGCGAGGCGTCTCCTTGTCTCCTTCATTGGGATCGGTGGGGGAGGCCAATGCCGGCGTTTTGAAGCTTATCTTCGTCTTCCTTCACGTGCGCTGTTGTCTTCATCTGGGACCGGATACGGCTGTTGCTTCTTACGTGATCATGGCCTGATGGAGCCAAGCGAAGGCATGACACGCACTCGACTTTCTTCCGCGTGCAAGTCTCTCCTTGAGCGTCCGGGGACCTCACAAAGATGGAGATCAACATCTTGCACAATGTTTTCGACTTCGATAGCCAACGCAGCAGCTTCTCTGGAAGCAAACAGTCGTACACGCGAAAAGCTTTGCGCATCTTTGCACGCTGGCTGCCTGCGTGTGGGTTCTGCAGGCTTGCTTCGCGTAAAAAGCAACCGACATGGGCCACCCCCTCCGTCCCAAAAAGCGGGAAACAAGGGGAGACGAGAGCCTCTTTAGAATCTAGAAGTAGAAGTAACACTGAAGTAACTCATCGTTCCCGAAAAGGCAAGTCTCATGCGTTTCCCCGCCCCTGTCCTTGGATGGGGGGCGGCAACCGGAGCATTTCAAAAAATAGGGTTAGCAGAAGTAGAAAGTATAAACGAAAGTAGACGAGAGCTGTCAGGGGCGAAGTGAGAGGTGTGGGGGTGGGTAAAGCACATTTGTGCCCTACCCTTGTCCGAGCACTGGACGATGATCCTTTTTTCCTGCAGGCGTGAGCAGTGAGGATGGATCAACCCTTGAAGCTCTCCAGGCAGGATGGGGACCTAGGGACAAGCAACCGTGGGACCAACCAATGCGGCGGCAGGCCTCGTATCACAAGTGGCTGATGGCAGACGGGATGCTGTGCGATGCTGACCTTCATGACTTGATTGAGGCATGCCTGATTCTGACGCTTGGTTTCCAACAGTTCTTGCGTGTCCCAATGTTATGCGAAGCCAGAAACAGCTAGCTACACTCACTGATCGATAATCTGGGCTCGTGCCGCCGTTGCTTCAGGAATCCATCCCATCGGCCACGCCCTCAAGATTTGGCGTCGCATTCGAGCCTCTCGAAGCACAAGGTGGAGGACTCGCAGTGTTGGAAACGCAAAACTGCCTTGGAGCCGGAGGCTTGGAATTTGAGCCAGGATGCCGAAGCGATTTAGCGACATTTAGCAGAATGGGCTGGGGCAATAAATCGTTGTTCTCGTCTCTTGTGACTTTGGATGCTTTGCTCACGTTTCCAACCGTTAAAGGTCGGCAGCTGTAGAAGCCCACAGCGACAGCACTTGGGCTGCGCAGACGTCGGCAGCTTTGGCTTTGCACCAAATGCTCGTGCCACCCATGCGCTACCTGTCCAGACGCTTGGCATCGCGGGGCCGTGTCGAACCCCTTACAGAATGTCTGACATTTCTGCACGCCCAACAGCCTTTGAACCATATCAGGTTCTTGATTATATAGGAACTCGAGGCATCGGCATGCGCATGGAGCACCTGTACTACTGGTGGAGCCTTGCTGGTGGCGATGTGTTTTCGCTGGTTGCCGGGCAACTCTGCTTCACATAGTGGGCCGTTTATTTGAGCTGTCGGCTGGACTTGCAGAGCCAGACTCTTGCAAGATTTCAAAGACTGTTTTTTCCCAGAGCCCAACTCCGACCCCAGTACTATACAAGAACTAGTGACATGAGCTTCAGCAGCTGCCCCACTCCCAGCTGGACCCTGACCCTTGCTAGCACCTGAACTAGCCACCCGTGATCTTCAACCGGGGTTGATCTAAGTTACGGGCCTCTTGGGGTTTGTATGAAGTATGTGCCGCATAGTTTAGGGCCTGAATAGGGTGTAGGGTGTATGCCAGAAGGTGGGAGGAAAATGCGCTTATCGATCGTTCAGCCAAGGCGACTTCTTGTGCGACCAGCGCCAGCAATTTTGCAGCTACCGCTCGTGGTCTTGACCCCATGAATGAACTGTGCATGTGGACCAAAGCACAAGTGGAAGAGTGAGGTCCGTGACGATGACAGTAGCCGTGGGACCGTGCATGAGTTCATGTCTGAACCAGATTCGCGGTCAGTGCCAGGACGGGTCATGGTGAAAAAAACAGATTGTCGCCACAAGCATGACTTAAGGTATGACAAGATATAAGGTATCCCTAGCGGAGCTTGATTTGAGCTGGGTGGTGGAAGCGCTCCTTCTTTTGTTCAGGATCATGTCTTCTCCCACTTCAAAGCGTTAGTTGTGTGTGTGCCTTTGACTTGTTTCTCGCCTTGCTGTGAACCCGCCAGAAGTTTTCGCTTCTTCAGGGCTCCATGCGGTGCGGCATTTTCCTCCCAATGTTGCTCTGGCTCACTCTCTGACTCCCTCATGCTCTGACGCTCTGAAGGGGGTACAGGTGTGGGGGGGTAGTTTTGGTTGGGGGTGGTGGCGTTTGTGGCGGCGGTGGTGGTGGTGGGTATGGTACACTATCGGTTGCCAAATCAAAACCGGATCGGTGTGATACGAACAACTCTTCAGCACTGTGCGGCATTGCCAAAGAGAACTCTGAAATGGACGTTCTTGCAGGAGTGGAGAAGCCGGTTGCAACAGAGGCGTGGAGTTCTGATCGAACATAAACTTCCCTGAACACATCAGAGAATCCTATGATGTTGTTTCTAGGTTCGTCGCAAAGATTTTCAAGCAGCATTTCTGTCAGTTTCTGTTTGTGCACCCGGAAAGGAAGGGATGCAGTTCTGGGATCCTCCATGCAGAGCAAAGCCCAAAGTCATCGGCATTTGCTCCTGGGACGTTCTCTGCATCTTCGAGTCGGTACAGTTGGATAGACCATGGTGGGTTCTTGTCCCTTTGCTGTGCTATGCTGTGCTGTCGCAGCCATCCCAAGGCTTGCAGTCTCTCTGCCGTGCATGTGGCGAAGCTGATCGTCACGGCCTGGACAATCTCAGCCTTCGGCCGGAATCTCTCTACGACCGTGACCATGGGAGATTGAAATGGTTTCTGTCACATCTTCGTTGTTAGCTGAACACTCTTGTGATGTTGCCAAAGGTGTGTTTGGTTGAATCTGTGTAGGAGCAGCACTTTGGCTACCAGTGGCTTCGTGTGCGACGTTTTCGCCGTCTCCTGGCAGGGACCAGTCGTACGGAGCTTTTTCGCGAAGTGGCCAGGACGCACTGGTGGCTGTCTGGAACTGGTGCAGGAACTGGGACAAACAAGTAAGAACGGGGTGTCGCAGATAATGTGACATGTTCCGATTAGCAATATATTGTGGTTCTTGTTATAGCGAAGTGTGCCCGAAACAGAAGAAATAAAAACGGTCCATGATCATGCGAACTGTTGTCGAAGCAGAGCGATAGAGTGGCCGCAGACAACCTCCTGGACCCGCTCCCAGCAACTTCAGAACTTGACATTGCATGGACCTGAAGGCCAGCGAGGACATTCCGCCTATTCTCCGCGCACAAGTATGGTCCGCACCTGGGCAGAATAGGCTTCTGGCTTTCGTGGAAGCCCGCACCTTCGATATCCCTGACTTCAACGAAGAAACATTTAGTGATCCAGCTCAGGCTGTATTGGGGGGCGCTCCCTCATCTGTGGACCAAGCTTGCTGGGCACCCTTCTACGAGCCTCTCAATCGCATTCCCACATGGCATTTCCGGCTCCCCAAAGCACATCAAAGGGCGCTTTGTCGTATTTGTCGTATTTGTCGTGTCCAGTCCCCTCCACGACGCATGCGCCCTGTTGTACACCAGTGTACACCTGTTGTCCAACACAACCGCTGCGTTCAAGGAATCTACTCGCTGCACCCATGAAGAGCCGAGGTGCTTGGCAGGGGAGGTTTCAGAATGTGTCTCTCTTTTTTGGGGGAGGGGGGGGGGGGGGCATTTTCCATGTGTCGACCCACACGGTGTCTGAGATCAAGTTGGTGCGCATCTACTGGGCCATCGCGGAAATTCGAGTGCATTGGTTGCCTCCCCTGTGGAGGCGTGCTGGACCCACCTCGGTAGCCTTTGCAAAGAATAGAAGTAATACTTGTAGAATGAATTGATCGTAAGACCAATCCCAGCCAAGCTCGTAATGCGGAACGTGGCATGGGGCGCGATCAGGAGGATGCCTTGCAAGCAGCCATGACCTGCATTCCAGGCCAGGACTTGAGCAAGGTTAAGGCTCCAGGTTCAGAAGCTGCGACGATTACGTCTATTCTGATGTTTTTGCTTGCCTGGACAGTGAACAGTCTGCTCGTGCAGTGCTGAGTATTTGTTAGGTGTTAACAGTCTGGATTTGCAGGCTGGCTGGATGAGCACCAGGGCCACCAGGGCCTGAGAAGAGGCCCAACCGTTTCAGCTCAGTTGACACTTTTGTCCGTGTGCACTGCAAATTACGGCACAGTTCGCTCAAATTCCAACAGCTGTTCTGACAGGTGAATCGCAAAGCCTGGGTTCTGCTACCATGCGCCTCGAGCGCATTGTCACTTGGACAGAATGGGTTTGGCATGGCGAGGCATGGTGCAGCGCATTAATTGTGCGAAGCGCAGGGCTTTTCCCATATTGCAGTTCGCAGAATGGGATCCTCATGATGTTTCTGGCGCATTAGCGGTGCTTGGGGATGCTTAGTCCGGGATGCTCAGCCATGCGTTGGGCGCTTGAAATGAGCCATTCCAGAACCATTCCAGCAGGCTTTTGGCAAGTCCAACTCAGGTCCGTGCCGTGCTAGCGGCCAATCCCTCGCTGCACTGTCCGGCAGGCTTTGGACGTAGCCCCATACAGCATACATTATGCATGTGGCAAGGTTAATCCGCTGAGCTTGCGCATGCTGTGCGCGACCTTGCTTTTTCAGGTCTCGGGGCGCTGTGTGAGCCGCTTGCGGCGGTCTTCGGTGCTCAGGTACGAACTGCACATGATTGCACAGGCTTCTAAACTTGCCAGCAGTTGAAAAACGTCCGGAATTGCGGCTGTGATCTTGCCTCGCGGTTGCAAAGAGCACACTAGAGGAGGCCGCCGCCTTTCTGGCCGCGCAGCGGGTGCTTCATGGATTCCTTTGGCCGCTTTTCGGTCGAGATGGCAAGACCCAGCGCAGGCACTCGGCACTCTGAGCTTAAGGAGCATGTCTCATATCGCGATTCCAAAAAAGTGGTTGAGGCACTACCTGCAACTCTTCGGAGCCTTGCTGGGCTTTGCAGATCCCATTCTGGCACTGCACTTGCAGGAGTTGGGCATGGAACCTGAGGCATGTCACGACGTGTGCAGGACATCTGGCTTCAACTCAAAACTCAGCTTCATCTTTTCAGCCCCCTCCTGGTCAGGCCTATGCCAGCGATTGGTTCTCGACCTGGTTCTCTCAGCTTCTCCCACGAGCCCAGGCCATCTCGGCCATCTCGAGGTAAGGCGTGGTGCTTGTGAGATCTTGTGAGCGTGTGTTGTAGAGGCGGTGCGGCTCTGGGATTCTTTGCTGCTGCGGCCGCCGCAATTCGCGCTTTTCATTGGGGCTTCTTCGTTTGCAGCTGAGCGAATCAGTGCCGCGCCTTGCGTGTTGAAAAGTGTCTGTGAGGTTTGCTTGGTGCACTTCTTCCGGCTCTCCCTTCTGGCGCTGGAGGATATGCCACCCTTTTGTGGGGAAATTGAAGTCGACAAGCAAGACAACAGCAGATACGGCACAACAGGTTCTGTGCTCTCCCCAGAGGAAGCCTCCCATGTGGCCAACTTCCTGGCCAGCTGTGCTCAGCTCGTTGACTGCCAAGTGCTGGTCTCCTCTGCGCTTGCTCTCTTTCAGGCTCTTTGCAGCATTTTGCAGCTCTTAAGACGTGTTACATCGTGTTACAGAGACACCCAATGCAACAACCTGTCCCTGTCCCTGCAAGGCCACGCCCGCCTCTGTCACCCTGCCGGTGTTTCCACGGCATTCTGCAGGTGAGGCACTTCTGTGGGAGCATGGCTCTACTGCCATGACGGCTTCAGATCCTGACTGGGGAGCCTCGGAGAACTTGATCAGCATTCTGGAGCTTCACGCGATTTCACGCGGGACCACAAGGGATCAACGTGGTTGAGACGTCTTTCGTGCGTCAGCTAAGGACATCTCGATTCAATTCTCGCGGAACCATGCTCTGATCCAAAGTTTGATCCAGGCGGTGCTGAGGACGAGATACCTCCGCACCAACAACTTCTGCAGCATGCCACAGAGCAGTGGCGCCAATGCGAATGGTGGCGGCAGAAAGTCAACAACAGCCCAACTCCTCCGATCATCACCGTGGATGATCTCCTCAGCTTCCGAAGCTGCTGCCACGTGCTCGATGCACGTTCCGGGGAGGATTTTGCTGAGTGCCACTTCCAATCGAGCATCCACGTCAAGGACGCAGACGCTTTGGACTTGCTGCCGAAACTGCCACAGGAAGTAGTGATGCTTGGCCGACAGATGAGCCAACGAGCAAGACCCACATGTCCCCAGAGGATTTTGCCACGCCGTTGCCATGTTTACTTGCATGCTCCTGCACATCTGCTTTGTGCGCCACGTGGCTGAGGACACAGTGCAGCACCCCCACAGTGCCGTTTCAGAAGACGAGCGTGCCAGCAACCGTAGCCCAAACAGGTGCCGAAGGCATGGTCATGCATTCCGCTGTCGACATACATTCCTGTTGCATGCCCAAACAGTTGGGAGCATCTTCATGTCTGACAAAGCTGGGCATCCAGGCGCAGGAAATGCAGCTCCGTTTGAGCCACCTGCACCGATCAGTCAGGAACCCAGGACCTCAGAAACCTTCGACCATCGCCAAACCTTGAACCCAAGGAAGCTAGAATAAGAAGAAAATGAGCTAGCATCCGCGAGCAATGAGGCCCTGAGGAAGCGCCCCCTTGGCTTGGCACAGAGCTTCGACCGCGACTCGTGCCATTGTCTGCATTGGCACTGGTATGCATGAGTCAGCGGCTGCTGGGTAGAGTCGAGGCTGGGTACTGCACTGGGCCGCAAGCTGTTGTACCCAGAAATCCAGACATTTGCTCCACCCGACCATCCCAGACAACGCAGCTGCGGTGGTGCATAAGGTCGTTGTTGTTGGTGGGGAAGACTTGGGCACTGACTTTGCAGAGCGACTGCGAGGCGAAGGGATAAGGCACCGAAGCTGAAGATAAGGAGCCATATCATGCCAGCCGACTGCGTAGCACGTGCATGAAGCGACTACACTTGGTGCAGACATCACTATAGGTTTTTCTTGAAGGTCGGGCATCTGATGCCGAAACAATCACTGCTACCCAACAGATGCTTACTTACAACGATCCCCAGCCAACTTGTTTCCGTTTATCACGCTCGCTAGCTAGCAGCTAGGATTTGATTCTTGCTTGGGGCGTCGAAGGGTGCCATTGTAATTTGTTTCCATCAAGAAGGGAGGGGGGGTCTTATGGAGCCCTTCAACGGGAAGATGCCTGGTCGGATGCCTTCCTGTTCGTGTTAGGCCTCAAGAGCCGAGGCATGTTGTTTGCCTCCTGGGTGGCCTTGCAGCTCTCCGCGAGGAAGCTCCCCGCTACCTGGTGCGGAGTGCAGACACTGGAGAGAAGCAGCAAAAAGGACCCTGGTAAGGTTCAGAGCACCGTACAATTGCTGGCGCCTCGCTCGTAGTCGATCGCAAGCGGTAGTGCTGGTATTGCAGGCAGATATCTGACATCAGCTGGCAGCTGGAAGTAAAGTTAAACCCACATGCAAAACAGGTGAAACGTCAGAAAGAACAACACTCGGTTCCTGAAATGCTGAGGCACGATCTCTCAGCGGGCCTACGCGTTGCTTGGGGTGCCCACCCCCCCAACCCTTGCTGTTGAGTTCCTCGTTTTGCGGAAGTTTGCAGCAGAGAGATGGTGGAATGCCATACGCTCCTAGCTGAACATGAACCAGAGGGCGATCAACTCTCCACGTTGCTACCGTGTTGCTTCATCTCGCAGCAGGGGGATTCGGTGACTCATCTGTAGGAAGTCTACTTGGTCTGTGGCTGCTTGCTTGGAGTTTTGAACCTGCACATCCGCAGCTCTCAAACTTCTGGACATGGGGCCCTGAAAGCGGCCATCGCGCCCAGCCGCCCCAACGGACGGAGACTCGGAAACTCGTAACGTGCCCAGTTTGCGCTCTCATTCAGCAAGCGTTTTTTTGCTGAGGCGTGGCTGCGAAGCAAGGCATGGAAGGCCATGACATGATCCTGAGCCTTGTGTAGAGCAAGTTATCTCGCCTCTTCTTGCCTTGAAGTTTACCATTTTTCATAATGTTGTTACATCGTTTCTGCCCGGACAGGCTCATCACCCATGGTTTCTGTGCGGATCTCGGCTTGCATGCGCCGGTAAGTTCAACAAGATGCCGGAACCAGTGGCTGCCTGATTTTGGGCTGTTCAGTGGTAGTATCGATCGGTTTTACCATGGCAGGTCTGTGTGAACGATGCATGTCTGTGCCTGCAGCCTGCACAATCCAGGCAAATCCCAACGGATCAGTGCAGCTCGTGCGATGTTCGCATGCCAAGCGTTGAAATATGCATATGCTGCATAAGGATATTTGGACAAGCCCTTATGAATGTAGCAACACTCATGATACTTGCTGACAGTGCGGCCAGCGCAGCCCTTGCTCATGCGCTTTTCGCCACGGCAGCGCAGCGACTCTGCAGCAGCCTTGAGCCGACTGGCACGGTGGACTCCAGCTCTCGAGGTGCGGATCTTTCCAAAGGCATCTGCAACGGTATCAGCCAGGGAAAAGGCGCAGGGGTGCACTGCTGTGCAAGTTGTTTTTTTGAGTCTTCTTATACATCACAATGAGGTTCTTCGGCAGCTGGAGGGCCTTATCCGTACTGGTCTTGAACCACAAATCTATCACCTCAACGCAGCGGCTCGGATTCTGGCTAGCGAGGTTGCGAGCACCTCGCGAGGAAAACGCGTGGCCATGTGATGTCACGTGCCATGCTGTGGCCACTGTCCATGCTGTTCAGGTACTCAACGCTTGCGGCAGAACTGGTGATTGGTGGCTTTGAGACAGTTGGTTTGGCAGCTTGAACGCGTGAAATCCCATTGCCGTGTTGACCGAGGCGCTTCGCGCTGAATCACTTGCAAACGATCGAGCAGTATGAAGTCTTGCCGAATAGGCTCTGTCCTCAGCACTTGCACTGTAAAGACTCAGTTTGCGTCACTGAGCCTCAGTCGTGCTTCAAGCTGGAGATCATGAGCGGGCGCTTCTTCTTGCTATGTTTGTCGCTGTCTTGCTATTATCTTTTGGTCGCTTGAATATTCCTTTTCGCGGTGCCCTCTTTCCGCGAAATAAACGCTTCTGGGGGAAACCTGAGCACAATAGAAAACACAGCCAAAGCCGGAGCAACCATGTCGCGTGCACGGAGCCTTGAAAATGAAGGATTGCTACTGACACTGGGGCTCGGGGCCCACAAGGCTCGCCATGTCTTGCTATTCTTGGGATTGGAGACTGCTTGAATACCCACGACCTTCGATCTACATAATCTACATTCCTGAATGAACAGTTTCTAGCGCTCGCAATGAGACATACATAGTGCTAAATAAAGATCAACTGTTTCCGTTGCTCACAAGGCCAAGACAACCCTTATCAACTAAGACCCATGCTCTCCTACTAACGATTGGAGACCCGTCCTGATCAGTTTCTTATTTCAGGGAGACTGTCACAGCGTGGTTGGCAATATTAGATGCCGCTGCCCCGGCATACTATGCTTCATGCGAGAATACCTTGGACGTAGAACCATGCAAGAAGGAAACTCCCCTTCTGCCTTTTGCAGGTCAATGAGAAGATTCTTGGAGAGAGATTACTTCTGGTATGTATTCTGTATTCTTTTCTGAGATAAGGCCGTGTGCCAAAATATATTGCTTGTAACAGGGTCGTGGCCCACACGCGCGACATACCCCGTTACATAGGGTATGTATCAATGCCCGGGAATTTGCGACAGACCTGCTTGTTGTTGTGTTGTTTCCCCTTTTTGCTTCCAGTCGTGCATGCGCGCGACAGAGGTCTGTATCAAGACGGGCGTTACATAGGTCTGTAACAGATGGTTTCGCGCGCGGTCCGTGACAACCGGGGTTTTTGTCACACGGCCCTTATGGTCTGACAAGAACAATGGAAGATTTTGCTTTTTCTGGAAGGCACGGTAAAAGTAGGACAGTCTCTTTCATTCATGAGTAGCAAACATTCCCGCAAGGGGAGGGTCGTTGTCTTCTTTACGAAAGGGGGGAAACGAAACGGGGTTTCTGTGTTTTGCTCAGTTCCTGAACAGGGTTTCGCCATGAATCACGAAACATAAATGAGATTCCGTCACACGCAAGAAGCCGCGTCAGATTAAGAGACAGTGCCTTCTAATTAGTCATAGCCAAGAATGTCAGGGCTTCTCACATTATGTTAACCACTCACATTATGTTAACCAGAAATACACAGTTGATCCCACTCGGTTCGTCCTTGTTAGTTGGGATGCGGCATACAAGCGAATCTTGAGTTTCTGGGCATGGGCAAAACAACGTGGATCATGGTCGCCAGGAATACTTGCATTATGTTGAAAGCGCCTTCCCCGAACCCCCTGGACTCCTGAACTATCAATTACTTTTGTCCCAGGGCACCGCCCTCATCACATAGCTTACTTAGGTTCAGCTGTGCTGCGGCCATCAGTGCTTGTGAGAAAGGCCATGAGCCATGTGCAAGAAGAAAGTGCATTGTGGCGTTCATGGTTGCAGTCTTGTATGCCATGCTATGAAATTCCGATCTGCAATCGGCTTCTGATCACCCGAAGCCAAGAGCCAAGAGGCATGAAGCCACGTAGTTGCATGTGAAGGGTCAGGTACTGCAGTGGGTGAAGCAGTGAGCGTCGCTACGGTATGCCGTGATCATGGTCGCATGGCAGGTTTCCATTGGCAGATGGCGCTTGCACTTCTTGCCTCCATGCCGAAGAGAAGAGCTCCGCAGCCTGGGTTTATCATCTGATGTTTGCGTGTCCTGTGCTTTCGAGCCTGGACTCAGAAGCTGAAGATCCGAGGTTGCAGCGGACGCAGTTGTATTCAATACTGCAATCAGCGCTTGTGGCAAGTCAGAGCAGTGGGAGGCACTTCGGCAAGTCAGAACCACATGGCGCGGCTGCAGCCCTATACTGTATTTATTATACTGGCACATCCTGGAGAACTGAGGTCAGGAAGTTGGTTTAGCATATGTCGTGTCTTGGTATCCGCCCAAATTGCATGTGGAGGCCGCGCTGCAGCTGCTGCATGATATGCGCCAGTGTACAATGGAGGCGGATGCGATTAGCCTCCGGGCTGCTTTCGGTCACACTGTTTATGACAAACTTAGCGGCCCCAAGACGAACTTGCCGCTCTCAGGCTTCAATGCTGCGATCGTCGCATGTCGACACTGTTGGCAGCGGGTCACTGTCTTGCTGCAGGACCGAATGTAAAGAATCCGTGCGCTTCTTTTGAGTGCCGTAGGCTTTTGGTCGGGTGCACGTTCGGCCGCTGTGCACTGCAATGCATGCCCACGTGGAGGTATACTACTGTAGAGGCATAGAGGGTTGTTAAAAAGGTGACTTCGCACTTTTCAGGACAGTTTTCTGTCTTGATGCTCTGACAGTCAATTTTCTTGTCGTGACAGCAGCTCTAGTATTGCTCAAGTTGTGCATTCCTTGCCCAAGTCCTTCCACGCCGCATTAAACTTCCGTTGGGAAGGGCGCTTTGTTCAGGGATTCGTGGCCAAAGTCCCACGAATGTGTGGATAACAAATCCGCGAAAGCGCGCGTAGACTGTGCAGGCCCAGCCTTCTCGTTGTGTGCGCGAGAACATGGGCATGCGGGTCACTTGCGTCGAGTGGTTGGCGGGGGCGCACCTGTAGCATCGTTTGCTGGGACATGCAGCTTCCAGCGATTTCCAGTCCCGGCGACAGGATGCTCTCACGGGCCATCGGACGGCCATCAACAGCCGAGGGCTCGTTTAGCTTAGGTGTGAAAGAGAGGAGGCACCAGAGACGTGTGCAATTGCACATGCCAGTGCTCGAGATTTCCCAATGCAGCCAAGATTGGAACGCTGCAGCCACGGCACTGCCTTGGGAAGCTTCGCTGTCGCTGCTTGGGACGCTGCAAGGTGCAAGGGCCGGGAGGGAGCGTATTCGAGCGAGTGAGTGATAGCGAGTGAGTGAGCGAGCGTGTATGTGCCATACTACTATGTAATGCGACTATCCGTTGTCAACGGCGGTGGATGGAACAAAGGTATACGCATGCTGGCATGGACTAATCACGGCATCGGCGCAGTGAAGTCTGCGTGTGATCAGGTGCCAGCGCGCAAGCAGTCGCTCGGCAAGTTGCGCTGTCTGCCAGCACTGTCTAGCAGAGTCTAGCATCTGCAATCTTGGCGTGGACAGAGTGCAAATTCCGAAGCTTGCAATGGCATCCTCGGCATGTCGCACCCAGACATTCTGCAGACCGGGCCGCCAGCATACATTTTGTGGACATCTTCAGGATGTCGTGTCGTTCAGCGAGCTGTTTGGCGCTCTGGGCACTGAAAAGCACTGGTCTCTGGCTGAACGGGCGCTTGAGCAGATGAGGGAGAAGGCGGCTAAACATAGAGCACCCACTTACTTCCCATGCCGTCTGTGTTCCTATACGGGCCCAATGAGCCATGCAGGACATCACCGCAGATGTTGTTTGCGCCAATGCAGCTGCCAATGCCTGTGCGCAAGGCTAACGATGCAAACGGGCACAAAGTTGGCTGCTACGTGTTGCACAAATCCACATAATACGTGCGGTTCGACGGTTTCGGTGCGTGTGTGTGTCTGTATGCATACCGTGCATAGTGGCAAACATGGCTTTCGTGTGTGTGTGTGTGTGTGTGTGTTTGTGTATGCACTTGTGTGCGTAGGCAGTATGTGTGTGTACAGTATGTGTACTATTAAATGCAGTGTATTTTGACAAGCTATGCGTGTATGCAAACCAGCTATCGGCCCAACATTCTCCAGGTGGTGCTTGGCAAGGTGCGTGGCTGTTCCTTCAGGAGCCAAGGGCGGATGAATTGGCTGGTTTGTGCTTCTAGATGTTCAGTCAGGACTTGCGCCGAAGCTCCTTGCAAATAGATCAAGGTCTCGAAGCTTGGCGTGATTTCCGAAAAAAACCTGTGTCGCACAACACGGTGCGGCGGAGCGCAGAAAGCGCATCTTAGGTGAGCTCCACAATCAGCGGAACTCGTGCAGATGCGGAGCCCAACAATGAGGCGGGACTGCCCGAAGCGAGGTGGAGCTGAGGTGCTTGGGTGGAGCTTCCTGCACAGGGCTGGACCTTTGCCTTGAAGATACTGGGACACTCAGAGGACCGATGCAGCCAACTTGCGTAGCAGTCCAAAGCTCTGGACAAAGAATGATGGAATGTCGATTCTGCATGCCCTCATGATGGTAGAGTGGTAGAGTAGTGTCAGAGAGTTTCGCAGTTGTTGGTTGTGGGACAAGAGGCCGTGTTCTTGGCAGGTGCTAGCATGAACTAACATGTACCTTGAGCGCACCTGAAACCCCCCAACACGTGGGGTTGTATAGCCCTCGAAGGAGGTGTCGCTTCCACCATCCGCTGTCAGCCGGTCCAATGCCGCTCTCAGACAATCTTGCAATGATGAAGGTCTTGGGGAAGGGGCCGATATCTGTTTACAGCGCAAGCTCGAGGCCCTATGTACCTGTGGCAAGGCGGCCGCTTGGGAGGCGGCCCTTGAGCAGCACGGCTTGCAATTGCCTTCAGTGCAAGAGGCCGATGTTATTCAAGCTGCTTGGGGGGCCGCTTTGACGTTTTGCGCATGTAGAGTCAGATTAGATTCAGTGCAGGGCTCGGATGTGATGGGTTTTTTGAATTTAATCAGTGGGACATGCGTGGATCTGTGTATATTGCATGTCATGGTCGGCAGTACTTCCCAAGCCAGAGCCTAGCTCCTGCGCGGCTGAACAGTATCATCGCATTGTGTATAATCTGGTTGGCTTATCTTATCTCAGTTTATTCTGGACTGATTGACCCGTATGTGGCACACTGCCGTCGTGATATCTTGACATTCTGAGGCTTTTCGGATCTCTGCCATCGACGAAAGTGGAGCTGGACTTGAGTAGGGGTTGAGCTCGGATTGGGTCGAGGTAGGCTTAGAAACGGTTAGGCAGAAGTGGCGACGAGCAACAAAGTGAATGCAACCCTCGCACATCCTCCGACTACGCAGGACGCCGTGTGCCACACCGTCACTATCAATGCAACTTGACTGCCTGGTGCGCCGCTGTGCCATCCTGTGGTCATGAATCAATGAAGGCTTGTCTTTGCGTCTTTGCCGCAGCCATTTCAGACAGGCTGCGCTCCCGCGATTCCGCAGGAACATGCAGAATCCTAAGGCAGTATGTCCAGACCGCTGCTGTGTAAAATGAAATTGCCATGACTTCTGCAGTCACGCGCCGAACCTCACGGAACTGATTGGATGCAGCTCATGCTGCAAGTCCAGATGCCCCTGCCAGTTGCAAAGCACAGCTGTGTGTCATGATGATCAGGCCAGGCTATAAATTGCACGGTTGGGCTTGGGTTCCTACATGTTCAGTCCGGGATGGTGATGTTGTTTCTTGACTTTGTGGGATGTAGCACATGTGCCGCCCGCTTAAATGTAATGTAGCAGGTTTAGTATTTATCACACAGAACTTTTTCGCTCTTTGATGTGCTCCTCGCACAAGTGGTCCAGGATGCTCAGGACGCATCGTCCAAGACTCCTCCGTGTCTTTGGGGCTCAACGGCTGTTCAAATCTGAAGTGCGGGCGCCCACTGAGCTTCTTGTGGATGCTGATACGCACAGCCTGGCTGAGATCAAGAAAGCAATTCAATGCTTGGAGAAGGAGGGCCGTATGGTCCGGACCGCCGTCTACGCAGCACCTGGCAGGGAAAGAAACAATCAATGGTGTGCATTCATGCAGACACCCGACGTCAACTTCTGCCCTGTACCTCGTTGTGGCGGTGAAGCAAATGATGCTGCACTGATAGCCAAGATCAGAGAGCTTGCTAGTGGCCCGCAGAAGAAGCAGATTGCCCTCATGGTGCAAGACAACGGCTTTTTACCAATGATTCAAGACATCTCGCCGAGAGCGGATCTGGTAGTCCTTGTGCCGTCGAGGAAGTTCAACGTTCTTCGCAGGTTCGAGAAAGCAGGCGTGCGAGTTCGGTCGCTGGACCCGATAAGGGACACTAGCCCGAGGATCAGGGCACTTCTCCACGCAGACGGGACGGGCAGTGTACAATTTGCTGATCCCTATATCTCTTATGACAGCAGTGCGCAGGCTGAGCTTGTCCGAGGTTTCGTAGGGGACTTGGCCTATGACGCCGGTGGTTACTTGATTCATGCCACCTCGAAGTTCTGGTTCCAGAATGGATTGGGTCCTATCACGGTGTTTCCACATCAGTGTGCAACCCAAGCTGTGCATGAGGTTATGGAATCGCGGGGACATGGGCGCTGGAAGCGATGCCAAAGCAGCCTTGCCTTCGTGATTCCCAAGACATCCCCTGGCAGCAGTACTTCTATGCAAGTGCATCGCTATGGAAGTGTTCTGGCAAGACGTATCTTTAGAGGAGGTGGTCCTTTCATGCTGCCGGACGCACCTGTTCTGACAAGCCATGTGTTGCGAAGACTGGGCTACCTCGACGACGACCTGAACAGCGATTTGGCCGAGGCCATGATTGTTTTCATCAACATGAGTGACAACAAGCATTGCTTGCGCAAGCTGGGAATGCTCCCATCCTCAAACGACACCCCACCAGAAGTCGAAGACAGGCTGCGGGCGGCTTTCCTGTCCCACCAGAGCGCGGGATTGTGGCAGGGAGCCCCCATGGATGGTCGAGTTCGTCAAGTGCTTGAGCAACGTGGTCTGCTGGAAAGTGCAAGCAAAGCAAGCAAAGCCCAGGTGCTCAAAGCAATGCGGAGCTTTGCCTCCAGTGCCAAGCTTCCCCCGGCTCGCACATACAATGGACACGTCTGGCAGATCCAGTCGCACCTGACATCTGACAATTCCTTGCGGACGGCTGCGATCACCTTTGAGCTCTAAAGATGTTCACTATGGCTTGGTGTGAGAATGGTGGAAGAGACAGCAGCTCGTCAAGTTCTTATTGGATTTCTTCCGCTTGGTCTGCCCAGCTGCTGTGTCCCGCATGCGGCCACACACAGGACCACCAGCACGCCGGAATACGACGGGCATCTGAACCTTTAAACTTGCTGCACTTGAAGAACGTGGTGGACCCTTATGTTGAAGACCTCAGCTCACAACGGGGAAGCTGCAGTGCCTCTGAACTTTCTCACTGCATGACCTCACTCTTGAATGTGGCAGGAATGTGGTGCTTTTGAGGGTGCGCGTTCTACGCATTGGGTTTTGCTTTCCGGATTTCAGGGTTCTCCTGTTTCCCGGTAGGTTATGTTCGGTTGCTGCCATGGGGAGTAAAACCAGTCGGGCTGCGGCATCTACGAGCCTTTACGATCGTTTTGTCCATCTTTCTGCTGCTTGCTAACCTCAAAGCACTTTCGGGCACTTCGCGCGGGTGCAAGTGCGGACAGGGGTAGCTCATGACTCTTGAAGAATGCCCCCCTCCTCCAGATGGCTTCAGGCAAAGTCGGAAAGGAGCCAAAACGAATTTCCGCTTAAACGCAAGCCGAAACCCTGTCTGGACTCCCAAACTGAACACCAAAGGGCCCCAGCACCCACACTTGAGAGCTTTTGCTGCCCAGGGATCGCTGAGAAAAGCTTGTGGCAGCCCAAGGCCTGGCAAGCGGGAGCTCGATGGCGCCACGCAAGTGCTGCCCTTGAAGCCACGTGGCAACAAGTCCACGATATCTCGACAGCAGTCTGGTAAGGGAAGCAGCCGGGGACCGGTTTGGCAAAACAGCAGGTGTAGCTGCACACACTCACACACACACACGACATGAGACATGAGAACTTGGCCAAGGCGGTGGCATTTCAGCGCCTTTCTGCTGATGCCCTTGCGTACGGTGCCGTTCTCGCCAGCGGCCAAGTCAGAGGCGGGATTAAGATGCCAGCCGTCGAGTGCTGGCCAACGATTCAACGATCACGTTGTTTGATTCGCTGGCCTTGTCGTCAGCTCCATGGGGGGCTGCCTCGGCGACACTACATGCCATGCATTGCCGCGGCGTGCAAACTGCAGCGCCAAGCGATGGCGCGGCCATTGGCATCCCGTCAAGATAAGTTAGAATCTGTAGTCTGTTGACTGCGTGCATCATAGCTTCAGCCTTCGCACCGTTGCCGTTGATTACTACAGTGACAGTGGCTAATGATTGCAGGTCATTTGGCCAAGGAGGGCCAGTGGCTCCATGCATTGCACTACTTTGCAGAGGCAAAGCTTTATGCCATTACCCATGAAATTTTGCATGCAGAATGCGACTCAAGTTTTGCATGACTGAAGTGTCCAGCCCAATGAAGCATTCAACCATGTATCATCGCTATTTGCGTCTCAGGTCTAAAGGTCCTATAGGTTGGGGAATGTGCAGTACAACCAATTGCTTGTCACGGGACCCATCCACACAGGCATCTAGTTCATGGGCTTGGAGAATCAGGAATCCGGTCTGAAAACATAGCATCTGACTTTACCCGTTCGGCGTCAACGTGCATTGCGGCTGTTGCAGGCCAAGACGCAGCAGGGCAGTGTGGCGATGGCATCCTGTCGTGGTGCCATCCGCGCATGCAAGCAGGCACAGTATGCACTCAAAGCGAAAGCAGCATGAGAAAGCCCGAGTTCGGGCAGGACATGTGAAAGACAACGGTTTCATGCGTTTGGCTGTGATGGTCGCAGCTGTTGTAGACCGGAAGGCCCCTTTATCACGCCCTCACTGCTGACAAGTCCATGGTTTTAGCAAGGAGAATTCTCACATACTATGGCGCCATGTCCCTGTGCTTCAGAATATGCGGCTTCATGTCGACCTGCCCTTGAGGCTGCCGCCTGGGATTGGGCGCTCGCCACACTCGGCGCCGCCAAAACTGACCCTGCTTGCGCTGCTGCGGCCCTCGTGGCCTGCAGGTCTGGTTGCTGTGGGCCATGTTGTGACTTTCAGCTGACAGTGCAAGCTAAGATCATCTTGAGATGCATTTGCTGGAAGCGTTCATGCTCCGCGAGATGCTTTTGAGCTTCAGGAACAGGAACAAGTGGATTCGCTCAGCAAGCCTCTTGATGGACATGCCTTTTGGCAGAACATGGGCTTCGAGCAGTCTTGCCCAGTCTCATGGGGGGCAGTGGAGATTGTGGTGCTTCGATGGGATGTCTCAAGGTTCTCCTTGGCCATGAAGGTTGACATTGCCAGCTGCCCCTCGTTCTGCAAGTCTGACGACGATTGGCTAGTAGTAGTTACAGCACGCGCTGGCTCTGAAATTCCTCGAGCCAAGCTGAGTAAGCGGAGTTGACTTTTGTTGACTCAAGCTCCGTTTCCCGCTGTCAGGCACTGCTGCAGCCTCTGCAGCTTCCGATGCAGGCGACGGCTCAAGCAAGCCAAGTCAGTGCCAGTGCATGAACGCTGACACTTGGGAGGTTGTTGGTCCAGGGCACTTTCCATTCTGTGCAATGCTGCGGCTTCACGATTGGTTCTGGATGAGGACCTCCCACTGAAGCATCTTCGGTGACAATCTTTTACTGCAGGGTTGTCATGGTTCGCCCTGCCCTTGTGTGCAGAAAAGCTTCCTCACCACCTACCAGCTCCTGCAGCAGTCGGGGAAAGACGCGTTGAACATGATCCTCGATTTCGAGGACACCTGGCTTTGCTAGTGCACGTGGCTGTGGAGCTAATCCCGAACAGCATGGCAACACCCCGGGGTTGGCCGACATCGCGCTCAGATTGTTGATTTGCTTCGCGCATTCGTTCTAAGGTTCAAAGTAAATTCTCATCTCACGGTGCTGGCGTCCTCTGGGGGTGTTACTGGAGTGCTCTTCGAATACTCTTGAAGGGGCCTTACACTGCTTGGGGTCTACGTCTGCATAGCGGCGTTTCTGTTTGGGTGCTCGGTGGCAGGAGCTCACCTCAGCCCAGTTTGCTACCTTCATGCGACTTGGCTGTCCTTCAAGTGACCCAAGCACCAGCTCAAAAATCAGCATTTGGGGAAGGTTCGCCCCTTGACATGCACGCACTGCATGTGCACCGTGCAAGACCGTGCACATCTCCTCACAGGCCATGGGCCTTGGCTTCCATGGGCACATCCAGTCCTGAAGAAATGCACAGAGCCATGGCCGAGGCCTGTGCTCGTTTTCGTTTTCTGCAAGTGTTCTGCTCTGCTAAAAGGCCAAGCCGTGTCGCCGCATGTTTGCACCTGAATACCTCAATGCCTTGTGCAGCTCATATCTCACGCGCGTTTTGTCAAGGCGGCTGCCACGATCCGGCACGGAGCGCTAGACCCGACGTCCTTGGCCAGCCTATGGTCTCTTGACGCAGAGCGTTGCCGGTCGCATCCCTTTAACTTCAGACACCTGCAGTCACGTGTTGAAACCCGTTGGACGTGTGCTGCTTAGGTGGTCGAGCTCGATGGCTGCGGGCTGAGTGTGCCTGTGTGAGAGCGGAGAAGTACAGCATCAACAGCGATAAATCTGCTCATGGCCTAACAAGCTGACAAGCTGCCAAGATGGGTGCGACGAATCCTTCCTTTGTGAGCACTTTGAGCACCTTGGTTCCTTATTTTTAATGAAGCATGCCGTGTGACTGAAGTATATATCTGATTGTGGCTGTGACATGCTGTGACATGTTTCAATGCCAATTTGAAGAGTGTCAACCTGCACCTTGTTCACTTTTGCGCTTCGCTGCTGCGGAATCACCCTGCAGTATCGTACTGTGTGGTCAACATGAATGATTCATGCAGCTTACCAATGCCATCCACACCGAAGATACAGGCACGCATGCCCGACGGCAAGTCCATGAATTTCGCTTCCAAGAACTGTTGATGGCCCCTTGAACCGAGATGCTCTGTCCGTCACGTAGCATGGCGCTTCTTCACCAGCGAGTCAATTTTTCAAAGTTGCGATAGAAATCTTTCGTAAGCGCATCGAGGTGACTGAACATTCTGTGAGTTCAACAGCTTAGGTGCTCTGGGGCGCCTGTGGCAGTGCAAAGGAGCGAATTGCGCCCGTTTGAGATGCTAAGTTCTGGGACAGCATCTGCTGAAATTGTGTTGCGCATCGTCACACTTTGCTTTGCAGCTCGCACCCTTTGCATATACTGCTTCATGGTCACATGTATGGCGCACGTGGCTGCTTACTTTGTTTGCCTGTTTTGGCTGCCTCTTTCCAGCAGCCGCTGCACCAGGATCAGGAAGTGCAAATAGTTTTCCAGCGGGAAGTTGCGGAGAGGCTGTACAAGTTCGCAATTGGGCCGCAATCTGGAATCTGGATGGTGCTTTTGTTTTCGTGATTCTTCGGGTTTGCTGGCGCCTGTCGACATCAGACTCAGACTATCCTCACAGGACTGGGCGAGCCTGCCCAAACGAATGCAAGTTGCACGAGCACTGGACACGTTGGGTCTCGACCTGAGACTACAGTTTCTGAAACTTCTAAGGTCTTCGTTAGATAGTTGAAGGTATGAGTTTTCAAATAAGGAAGAAGGCATAGGCGTCCGCCCGTTCCCCAGGTTCTTTGTGGGCCTGTGCCTTCTCTGGCACCCTGACCGTCAATGCCCGCAGTCGAATTCGGGCCGAGCTGCTCCGATTCGGAGGCGCGAAACCCCGATAAACCCAAGGCAGTTTGGGAACTCATCTGAGCGCCCGCGTATTGATAGCGTTGGGTCTTGGAACGTGTTGGGCTTGGAAGATGCGCACTTGTGTTTCACTTTGCAGTCACACTGCGGCCATACGCAGGTCTATTGGATCGTATCCAGGGGACGTACTTTCCAAAGACTCCAGGCTGGGCAGCTCAACATAGCGCTTAATATCCTATTAGTATCCTACCTTGCTGCTGTAGTTGTAGTTTTTGGGCTACGCGTGGCAACGCTGATTGAAGACTTGAGGCAACGGCCAAATTGTACACTCGTGCAGCTGATGCAACCAGGTGGCCTGCGCCCATTGCATGACGATATGCAGCCTGCTGTTGTATTCGATGCCTGGGACCGTCACTCGGCTCCACCTGCTCCCATGATCCCTGCCGCATGGGAAGGATGCCGGATGCCTTCATGAGGGAGCAGCATGTAGCCCCTTTCCGCTCCTTCCGCCCGTCTTAAACACACAGCTCTGTGCACCTATACGTATAATTTCAGGAGTGGTGCTGTTCAAGCCTGCCGACTATGAAGTTCACGACGAAAACTCTGATCTTCCACAAGTGTCGATGTTCATGTCGGCCATGTTTTGCAGCTTGGCAGATCCTGGCTGCTTGGCTGGGGCATGTCTTTCTGCCGGGCACGTAACTCAAAGGCTTCCGCCGAATCGACCCCCCCCCCCCCCCCCTCCGCAGTTCTCGCGACCGTCTGCAGGCAACAAACTGCCCATTCTCTACGATGACGAGCTCGGACATGGTGCATTGGCGTCACGCAAGTCAGACGGAAATCCATTGATAGACTTTGCCCAGTGCCCAAGAACATCCATCACAATGTACCGGACAGCGTGTCATGACTGCACGGACGGCTGAGGTTTCCTCCATCGCTTAGACGTTCCAAGCTCTGGACTAATCTTGGCCGCAAAATCATTCGAAGCGTACTACGACCTGCAGGTGCATCAGTCAATTACGCAGGTTGTCGAGCGGTCGGCTCGCTGCTTTCTACCTTCCGCCGACCCGAAGTTTTTACACTATTGCGAGAGAAGATGTTATTCAACATGTCCAGTGCCATTCAGCGCCATCTCAATTGGTTAAATTTTGGAGCACCGTGAGGTGCAACTGGTGAGCGGGCAGATTTTGCGTGACTCTTGATGCAAGTTTGTAGTGCTTCCCAGAGATGTGTGCAGAAGATGTCCAGCCACCATCCCAAACGCAGACTGCAACAGGCAAATGCAAGACGTGCCACTCATCAGGACTATATGGTGCTGAGTCATGGTTGGATGGATCCGGCGATCCAGGAAATCGATGTCCAGGCGTGCCCAGTACACCCAAAAATCACAGTTTCAGAGCACACCCTGGGAGCAAACAAGTGGCTTGCAAGAGTCCAGGGGATACTGTAAGAGTGCTGTCAGCATCTTTTCTGAACTGCATCGTGCAGGTGCACTGTACAGTGGGTCGCTTGAGGTGTCGTATTCTTGTACATACTGAGGTAGTCATCGAGGACGCTTGGATGGCATACAGTAAAGGAAGTCCGCTTTGAGTAAGCTAACGCCCATTGTCATCTGCGCTTTAAGGAGGAACGTTGGCACGCACTTGCGGTGGCTTAGGACGGCGGAAGAACAATGTCTGGAGGGCGTGGCAAGCCAGCCCTCACTCGAACCAAGGTGCTTATCTTACTTTTGATGTGTTCTCACTGCGCGAGCCAGATTTAACTGTACATGCAATGCAACACGCACAGGGAGAGGGGGAGGGAGAGAGAGAGAGAGAGAGAGAGAGAAGGAGAGAAGGAGAGAAGGGTGTGTTCTTGGGGTGCAGTAAACGTGCAATTACTGGAGCAGCTGAATTCTAGATAGAAATTGCAGCACGCGTAGATTGTGAGCAAGGGCCGCCTTGACGCCTCTGAAGTGGCAGCTCCATGCGGCCAACCAGCAAGGAATTTACGGTTTGCCTTTTGCAATTTGAGGGAGTGAGTGAGAATGAGGGAGAATGAGGGAGAATGAGTGACAATGAGTGAGAATGAGTGAGTGAGTGCTGGGTCACCGCACGAGGTGGGGCATGCAGTAGCCAGAAAAGCTTCGCAAGCGTCTTGCCCCCTCCACTTGGAGTTCACTTCCGGCAGGCGCCCCGACCCCAGAAACACGCAGCCAAAAAAGGAAGGCCCGGTGCTGGAAACACATGGAAACACCAGCATATAGGCAAGACAGCGTGTCATCCTCGATGAGGCCCATGCAAGACACGCCTCCTGCGAAGATTCCTCTTCAAAGCTCACCACCGTTTCCCGTGAAAAAGGGAATGGCAGGCTCGGGGCCAATCTCCTGCAAGCAGGTCCCTGGTCGTTGTGCCCTCGGAGTAGAGGGCTGAAGACCAAAGCGCGGTTTGCAATGTGCAAGCTTCATATTAATTGCTTGGGTTCACTAGACAACTGGGAGTATTCCCTGGGTGGCGCAAGAAGAGCCTGAGAGCAAGAGAAAGAGACTCACATCCGAGCTGTTTCCATGTGAGGGGGGTATATGCCGGGTGCTGTTCCTTCTCCGAAAACCGGGGCTCAAGCCCCAACAACAAGAAAGTCACGGAGAATCATCTGTGCGCACAGTGAGAACCTCAACTTGCTCGACGTTCGTTTGTTTCACTGTTCAAGCCGGGCGCATGAGCTCCGAGATACCGTGTTGGAGATCATCCCTCGTACTATTAATTAGGGCTCCACTCGTCAGCTCTCACGATAAGCAGATTCCGAGAAATGTCGTTGACAGTCTTCACGAATTTCTACATTTTCATTTTGACCTACATGTTTGCAAAGCCCACTTAGTCAACTGCATGAGCATATGTTTTCAGGTTGCTGCGCATGCCCAGTATCTTTGTGATCAGTTGACGCTGGTGGTGATCCGCTGCTCGGCATCTACTCACGTTTATGGGCCAGCGGTCCTGGTCCGGCGTGCGCGCGCGCGCGGAGATGGCTTGATTTATCAGGTATTGGCACTGGCCGACGGCATCAGATCCGGTCACACTTGGCCCACACGGGCCACCCCACAGCCGCTCGATTGTGAGGACCAACCTTAATTTAAATCTCTTCCTACGTCAAGTAAGCCTTATGCATGGGACATGAGCCATAGGGCCATAGGGTTTCATGAAGCTCAAACCAACTGATATGAGGCCGCGGTTAACGCTTCGGATCCACTACTGAGGTGACAGATGGGCGCTACACATCCCTCGCCACATTCCTTCGAGATGCGCTGCTTTGCCGGCGGAATTTCTTGCACAGGCGCGGCATAGTGTTGGCCGGCGCGAGAATGAATAAGAAAATGAATACACCCTGTTTTTTCTGCGGGTCAACCTGCTGAACAAAGGTATTTTTTGGGCTTTTTGGACAGCATGGGCTGCCGCTGCTGCGCATCCTCAGCCGTTCCACAGGACCCAAAGGGAAGCGCCGATCCATGCTGTAACCTGCTTCTGCTGACATTGCTGACGCTCTCCCCTCGCGGCGATCGTTTCTGGAAGTTTGCCCCAGCTTCGGTCATCAGATCGCAATCGTTGCACAACTTCATCTCTAGAATTGCGTGGAAGTCCGCGAAGGAGCTTCAGGCTGCCTTGGCCCGTCTGCACGGCAGCCTTGATCAGTGGTGGAAAGAGCTAAGGCTGGTAAGGTCGGTGCGGTATCCGTACGGTGAGGGCTCGCTCTAACGGACATGGTATTACGATATAGTACCTGCTACGTGCAAGTTGAGCTCCTGCATCCCGCACTGAGTTTTTAAAGGGCGTTGAGCGGTGCTTGCCAGAACAAGTCCGACCTCCAAATGCCCTGTGTAGCCTAAAGTGCTGCGGAATCCGTGGCCATCAGTGTGTAGAATAGAGCTAGTGTCAGCAACCCAAGTAACGGTGAACATTTCCAAGCCGGGCTTGTCGTTTCCATTATGAGTGCACGGGGCAGCTTATGTCAACTTTCCAAGGTAAGAATGCTCGCTGCCGTTCGACGCTGCAGACCTGGCAGGGAGGTGATTTGCAACCTTTTGACTTTGTGACCAGTCTCGGGCTGGAGCAAAAAGGTAAGTTGGGCGTACCGCGCGTTTCTTGGGGGGGGGGGGGGGGGGGGGTGGTAGGGTTGAGGGTAACGGTCTTGTTGAAATGTTGGCTCGGAGGTGTTATCAGTAAGGACCCCCTAATGGCAGAGTCTAGTAGAGGAAACGGACCAATTACTGCTCATTTTCGAGCTGCTGAGCTTGATCTTGAGATACGCATTTGCTGCTCGGCCTTGTGGCCCTTGGATCTGGATCTGGATTGCGGTGCAAAGAATTCTCAGGCCCAGATGGCGCGCCCCGAGGCTTTCTGTTGTGCACATGGACCTGTACTTAAACGGCCGCAAGTACGTAGAGACAGGTCTGAGTCCGTGAGTCGATGAGTACTTGCATTTGTCGGAAACTCTTTTCAGAGTACTGAATAGGTCATAGGCAAAAAGACGATGAGTCCGCCTCAAAACGGAACGCACAAGAGCTGTTTTGTCGAATAGAGAGACCTGGAAGGGCAAGGTCGGCCAAAGAGCAGCGAACTTAGCATGCAGCGCGCATCCTGGAGCGTGCGCATTCTGCCAGGCCTTTGAAGCCTGGGAGTTCGAGATGCGACCGCTGAGCCCGGAGACCTGGATGTCCGGTGTCCGGCTCCTTGAGCTTTCCGTTCTCGCAGAGTCTCAGAGAATCTCAGAGCTCACCGAGGCGCCGGCAGCAGCATCCCTGGTGTAGATGGCGGCTCATCTGCAGCTGGCAGATTCAAGTCCTACGCGCCTCAAGCTTGTGAGCATACTCAGACTCATTATGAACACATAGCTTCGTACAACTCTATACTCGACTCTTTTTTGTGCAGCGGCCTTTGTTGAGCCTTTTGGAGCCGTTTTGATGCCATATGAGCAACCGTAAAGAGTGCCAAGAAAAGGCGCCCGAATGAAAGCGTTGCGATGCGCAACAGGCATTCTGGTCATTGACAGCAGCTGATATCCCGTTGTTTCGCACGCCGCCACGCGCTCCCGCCACTCCCTTTGCCTTCTTGACAAGGCCTCCCTAGCCGCTCGCTGCGACGTCCACGGTCTTCCACTCGATTGCAGGCAACTGCCGTCACATACCATTCTCCAATCTAGTCGCATGAGGGGCCCTTTTCGCTGCGGTTGACTCCTGCAAGTAGTAACTAAGCGGGTGCCCTTTGTATGCTTTCCACATTTCCCAGGCCGAAGTGGAGATGAATCGAGCTCAGGACGGCTGTGTGGACGTTTCAGGGGCCTAACAGTGGCAAGAATGGCAATGTAGGAGATGGGAGGAAGGCTCAGTGCAATGTGTCCTCAGGCACAGCTGTCAGAGCTGCGCAAGAAGCTCAACGTTGAGTCGCGCGAGGCATTCAAAACTGCCTGGCAACTTCAGTGCATTGAATTGCTGATTGCAGATCTTGCGTAGTCAGCGGCCGAACGCCCTAATTCTGCCCTTGCTTCCATTGTTGCTTCCAGGTGGAGCGGTTGCAGCAGTGCCTGGACGCAGCTAATGGTGAGGCCACCCGATATCCCAGACTGAGCCCGGAGAGAAGGCTAAGCTCCACGAAAATTCGAAGGTAGAGAGTAGAGAGACAGAGAGTGAGAGCGATGTAGAAAGAACGAAAGGGAGTGACTGTTAAACACCAAACGCCCTTTCCTACTGGCACATGCTTGCACCGAGCCTCTAGTCAAGGAGACCCGAAAAAGGTATTCGGCTTGTGCTACTTGCATGATGTCCTCAGTTCAGTGCACTTATATAGCATTTATCAGTTATAGGAAGCTGATATGACGTGTGCGAACACCATCAAAAACCACCGATATCGTGAATGTCATGTGCCTACGTAACCCACTCACTGTGCATATGTCACTGCATCTCGGCCTTGCATTTTCGGGTGGCCCCCCCCAGCTGCCCCCCAGCTGCCACCGTGCTAAGAGTTGGCTCGCCATTCCCAGATTTCCCAGCCAGGCTTCACATCAACGCTCCCTGGCGCAAGCCGCGCAGGTTGGAATTATCGTCCGTCTCTAGACTTGTCGGAGACACACGCAAATGGCAAAGTTCTTGAGTTGCGCATGCCTTACACATGCACAACTCTACACAGAGCTTGGGCTTTACAGCAGCCATCGTTCCCTGAAGTTCGTTTTTACATCGTTGTGCTTCAGCCAGGTCGAGGTAACAAAACTGCATCAGCGGCTTGAAGCCAGCGAGGAGGAGACGCGCAGAGAGGGTTGCGGGGAGGAGAGTTATGGAGAGTTGCTTTATTCAGATACAGGCGATGGATTCACGCGATGCTTGACGGGATTTGACGATGGCCCTGTTGGCGATGCCGCATCACATACGTGCCTGAGGGTGTGAGCAAACTTTTGGCTTGCACCTTGCCAGGCTCATCGCTCTTATGCCGAGGCTGCCCAGGCAGCCCAGGCGGTGCAGGCTCGGTTCGGCAAGATTGAAAGACATCGATTTCCAAACTTTTCTTGGACACCCCCGATTTCTTTTCTCGGTTTTTGGCGACAGGATGCGGCTGGTCGTGCTGCCACTGACAGCGAGCGCCGTTTGCAGGCACATGTTCAATCACACGCATGTGGCATACCAGTCACGTCTTGAGCTTCCAGCTACACATTGCACGGGCAGCCGCGTGAGTCAAGATTGTGGGAGCCTTCGGAGGCAGAAATCTTCGAACTCATGGCACGGTTGCGACTGGCCGAGAGCGGGCGAGCCAGGAGCTTACTTATTTTAGTAGGGTCGTCATTATGCTCATTCTCTGAAGAGGTACTTGCAGGCATGGCGCGCCATAACGTTGTCATAGATTTTTTGCGGCGGTCCTATTTTGTACGAATATGCTGCGTTGCCGGTTTCAACAGGGGTCCAGTGACTGCTTGTGGGTCCAGGGGGGGAGGGGGCAAGGGCAATGAGAAGCGACCCCAGCAGAGCCAGTAAACATCTGAGGAGAGCATGCAGGGCGACCAGCTGGAGCAGAAGCAGCGGCTGGAAGAGAAGGTCTTGCTCGGCAAGTTGCGACATTTTTCACAAGAGTTTCAAGAACAAAAAAGGGTGATTTGTTTTAGCAGCATATATTAATAATAATACAGGCATTGGATGTCGGGCTCTTTGGCAGGAGGAGCTGGCAGCGCATGCACAGCGGCGCTTGGCCCTTGAGTGCAACTTCTTGCCAAATGCGTTTTGCGCCGTGGGATGTGCTTGCGAGGGAGGTCGAAGTCAGGTTCAAGGTGTCCACAATTTGCCACACCATGCTCTTCCGACACGGAAGAGTTGAAATAACGTGTCGGTTACAGCATGATTTCAGCAGCTGGCTGTGGAAGACCTTCCTCACACTTAAAAAACCCGCTGTCCTGTTTTCAGAGCCGCAGATCCACCGAGTTGACCAGTTTCGCTTCAGCTGTTCACGCCTCGGGTAACTTCGGGCCACGTTACGGCAATTTGAGCATGACCTCATTCCAGGGGGACAGTAGGGGGACCAACAACACTACTCCCCAAGTTGCCATGCCAGCGGCTGCGCCTCATGTGCTTCCAGTCTCGGGCTCAAAAGCAACAATGGCCCAGCGTGTATGCGCTTGCATCTCACCTCGTAACCTCCTGGGAAGGCCAGCCTGTTGCGTCCCTTCGCTCTCGTTGCCGGACTCCTGCGAATCTCAGCAGAACGCAGCTCGGTCTATGGGATCTGTGACGAGCTGTGATTGAGGGAGAGGCTTCGCATTGCGAAGCATTGTCAGGTGCGGGCGACGAAGAGTCCTGGCTCAAGGCCGAACATGCTCATGTAACCCACGTATGTCCTTTGTCCTCAAATCGGAAACAGGTGAACCACCCTGAACCTCGAGTGAGCCTCTCTCAAGTCCCCTGTTTCCAGCGTGGGAAAGGACGCGGATCCGCCGACGCCAGAGACACTGGGACGGCACAATGCTCTATGAAGTGCTTATAAGTGCTCTCCAGCAGAAGCATCCTTATGGTACCCAGGCAAACATTTGTAGAGCTGTTTCTCAACATGTGCCTCATTCCTCTTTGAACCCTCCGCCCAGGAGGGCGGCGGCTTTTTTGGATTGCGACGCTTGGCATGCCCTCGGCCTTTTGGGCACGTAAGTGACACGTAGTTCTATTTGAAACAAGGGGGACCACCAGATGAAGCACACAACCCTTTGTCAAAAAGACTGGTACCCGTGGGTCCCAACTGCGCTCGCGTCATACTCTTCGAATGACTTCGTTCCGTGAACTTTCTGCCCTGCTTGAATTGGCCCTCAGCCTCACCTGCAGGAAGGCTTGGGCAGTGATCATATCTTCTGGCCATTGTTTCGACAAGCTCTACTTGCGGAAGGCGTTGCTTGCCTTCCCCTCCGGTCTGATGCGCATGCACAGACTTCCTTTTCAGCATGCGCGTTGCAAAGCCGAGGTTTTCGGCGAGACCACCTTGGAGCTGGCAGTGAGGCCAAAATGTCGAAATGCTGCCGACAACGCAGAAGAACCGAACAACTGCCTTCTCTTAATGTCAAAGCATCATGTGCAGTCCGTCTTCAAGAGGAAATGGACGGAGTATGAGAGCTTCCAGGAGCGCTCGGTGACCTTGTCTGGCTGCTGACTTGCGAAGTTTGGGAGTATTAAATGAGTCACTACATTCACTACATGTCACTACTTTAGATCCGGTCTGTCAGCTTGTCTAGCTACAAACTCCATCAAGGAAGACCTTTTCCGTCGACGAGACAGTGAAGGAGGAGAGATGGTCATGGCAGCTTGGTCGGAACATGTTGGGCGGGCAAAGGGACGTGAAGGGGGATTGGGTTTCAGGCCCACGGCCTGTGAAGTTTCGACAGACCATCCGACCATACTTGCGGAAGAGCTGTGCAGTGAAACCCAGGTGAGGCTGTCGTAAAAGAAAGGAGTCGGCGACGCCTTCGGGACAGCATCATACAGAAACCATACAGTTCGTGCATGTTCACGCAGTTTCACACCCCATTCCTTAGATGCAACTCTGGGGGTCGTTGACTTACCCGCTTGCCAATCTGCACAAGGGGAAGGTGCAGCCTAAGCAAACCTTTTGAGGCCCATTGCACGTCAGCCGAAACAGACCCATCCTTTTCCCTGCTCAAGCGCCATGACCTCTTTCAAAAAGCTGCCCTGGTGGCAACCACGTGTATAAGGTTGTACCTGGCCTCACCTTTGCGCCCTTGAGCTGCAGAGAAGCAGCTGCTCAGAGACTGAAGAAGCGCGTCATGCCGTGATGTCAGGAACGGCTCAGCTCTTGAAACGCGCATCGCAGACTTGATTGACTTACCCTTGGTGCTCCAGAAGGCAAGTTTATCTCAAGTGAGTGGTGCAAGACAACAGCTCGTAGAGCAAGGGCCGTGATGGCCGCAGTGATCTGTGCGCAACTATGGTGCAGAAGATCCTTCCGCAGCCTGATTTGTCACGAGGCGCAGTTCTCCCATCTTTTCGATGACCCACCGCTTCTCGCACAAACTGTGCAACAGCTGGCAGCGCATGCACGGCCGCGCATATTGAAGGCCCATCATGAGCAGCACAGGTAGCATGAAGGATCATGAAGGTTATTAGACACAACCTTCCAGCAGCCCATCTGATGCAGGATGCCCTCATGACTCATCCTTAACTATTTGTTTTTTTATTGGATCAACGGTTCTACGCCCAGGAAGTGGGGGCCAAACGAGTTTGCGGGCTTTTTGGCTTGCCCAGTCGGCTTTGTGCTGGTGCAGTACGTCATCTTCCTTGCGTGCTTTGGTTGACTCCAGTTGCTGCTGACTGTTTCGCATGGCTGTGCAAGCTGCTCAAGAACTAGAGGTGCACAACTGCAATTCAGATCTGGGTCTGAGGAACAAGGTTCGTGCTCAGCTGGATCTGCAGACCTTGAAAGAGTACTGGGTGCCCAGACTGAAACCTGCATTGTATCGGGGCTGGGTACTCGCAGTTCTTCGCAATTGCGGGGTTCGGATGCAGTTCGAAGGCATTCGTTTTAGGTCATCTACCTCAACGTCTGACAAGCTGGCATAGACTTCCCCAGCTTGCTATTGCGCTGTTCCTGCGTACGCTAGGCGACGGCTGTGCATCCTAGCTAGGGGTGCCGGCAGGCATTCGTACCATTTTTAGCTCACAGGCACTGTCCATCCTGGAACCGGTTTTAGTGCGGTTGAGCAAATGAGTCGCTCTGGTTGAGACAAGCGACCACCGTCTCGTACACTTTCAGCTATCTGTCCTCTTTGCAAAGGAGGCAATGCTGAATGCTTTCGGCTCCATTTATTCCGTGCCGAACTATGTCCTGGACCACTCCGAGTCCGAAGCTCGTCAGAACAGAACGTCAGCAGGCCAAGAGCACTGTCGGCTTATTTGACTGTTGACGAGATGCATGTTTCGCCCACTCTCCGAACTTCATCTTCATGTCTGCTGCGAGGCGAACTGGGGCTTGACCTCCACAGATATTGCCGCTTGGCAAGGCCAACTCGGGGCGGCGTCGCTTTAGCTTGTCTTAGCGTTTCGGACAATGAACGGGCAGAAGGAAGCTGAATCCAGCAGTCGCACGGGCAATCAACGAACATCTTGCAGGCCCGAGGGAACGCTTCTGGCCTTGAACTCAGGCTGTGAACATCAACACCGAGCCAGGTGTGTACTATCCGAGCTATGAGGAGCATTAAGCTGGGCAGGGAGTGCTCGGTGGAGATCCAAGTGCTGCACATGCTGCTGATGTGTTTGCTTGCTCCTAGTCCGGTCTGGGTCAGGACTACTGCTTTCATCGTCCTGTTCCACGTCCGAGGCTCACAGCGTGGAACGAGGAGCCAGTGCTATGGGTGACACCTGAAATTCTACTCATGTACTATGTGCTACGCCTCCCTGCTCGCACTTCAATGAGTATGCGCTCTGCCTGGCGAAGGATTCTCCGAGCTTGCTGGAGCTCGAAGCATCAGGTGCCCCAAATAGTCCGTCCAGCTCCTGTCTAGTGACAGCGTTTGGCAGCCTCCGCTTCAACAAATGTCTGATCATGGGACACATGGGACCAAGCCCTGCGCCAACCTGCCAGAAATAACGCCTACGGGCCTATAGCAGACGCCCTGAATTTGCCTCTCAACAAATGTTATGCAATTTTGCTCTATCCAGGGCCGGACTACTCGGCGCTTTGCTCTGGGCGCTCCAAAATTCCCATCGCGCTGATCGGAGAACATGGGCCAGCCGCTGCACCCAGAGCCCACTCAGAGTTGACATGCTTTTCACACAAAAGATGACTACAAAGCGTAGTGTAAAGTATCCTTCAGCACTGAAGTGGCCATGCCTAAGCCACTGCTTTCCAGGTGAACTTGGACCATCTGAGCACCATCCGCGCCGCATTGAAGGAGCCCCACTTGTTTTTGGGTGCAGCTGGGAGTCCAGCAAACACCGTGTCGAAAGTTCACCACATTTCACCACAACACCACCACCTTCACGCCTTCCACATTCCAAGACCATTGTCAGGCCACGTCAGGCCGTATGTGCCCCGCAGGCATCCGTAGGCCGCAAGGAGTATACAGTGTACAGCATTTTGCTGTTGAAAGCGTGGCCGCACGACAGCAAATGATATGCTCCAGGAAGTCAGCTTAAGGTAGCATTGTTCCGTTTAATTCCTCTCGCTTCTTGCTGGCACTCCAAGATTCCGTTCCATCTAAAGTGCCGGAGTCGTATGGTATTTTGCGGAAGCCGAGACTGGTTCGATTACCACAAGGCAGATCAAGCAGCTATCGTGCATGCACAGCGTGCTGCGGTGCATGCCGAACTGAACTCCTGCAAGGAGGCCTGCGGCAAGGACTACCAAGATCCTAGCGTTGAGGCTTACCATGCAGTGCAAGTTGGGAGTGCCTACCAGCTGTATGCTCTTTGGGCACGTCGAATTCGTAGCTGGCGCAGGTGGAAGCGGGGCATTTCTTTACATACTTGTGGGCGCTTGAAGGAGTCTGGGCTTGGTTGTGATGTTCTTGTGTACTGGCAAAGGAGACTTCTCAGACTGAGTGACTAAGGCACCAAGGAGGGTGATGCCCTGCGCGCCACGCTGCGCATCTCTTGGGAGGAGCCGCCTTGCTTCCAAGGAAGGTGTTCGGTTCTGCAATCATCTCAGAGTTCGAGCAAGTCTCCATGGCCGTGGCTTCTTCACGAAGCGGCCCTGCTCCTGCGTGTCCCAGAACCCGTTCATTCTAAAGTCTATTCAGTATTCCTGAAAGTTTCCGCGTGCACTTCAGCTGAAGGTTCTGGGGCGAGCCGCTGACAAAATCCCGAGGCGAAGCTGGGTGACACTGCAAGGTCAGGCAAAGTCTGGATTCTGGATGTCAAGCTGTCGACCACAGGACGATGCCAGTCCGTTCAGTCAAGAGTTGTTGCGGTGCATGGCAGCAGCCTGGTAGTGCATGCATTGCGTGACCTGACCAGCTGTGAGTCCGGAAGGGCGCACGGATGGCCTCCCACGCTGGACGGAGTCTTGGAAGAACGTGCATTGCGTAACGTGCATGTGTGTGTGTGTGGGTGTGTGGGTTGAGAATCTCTGCTGCGCGATCGCTTGGCAAGCCTGTCAATTTCAAGACTTAGAACGCCGACAAAAGAATCATTCTTGCTGCATGTGCTCAAAAGGGGGCCCCCTCAAGCGGCCCTATATGAGATAAAAGCCCATTGCAGAACATAAATCTCGACCTTTCAGCTGGTGCACTGCCTCTGAGGTCGCGGCTGCTGTTGCAGCGCTTCGCGGCTTTGCGAAGCGCGAGCCGCTGCTCCGGCGCAGCCGCTGCTCGCATGCAAGAAGGGCATAGGAGGGCAGCAAGGAGTCAGCAAGTGATTTTACTGCTCAACTGCTCCATGCAATCTCCAGATCACGTTTGGCTGCGGGTGTGTTGCGTCGATACGAATCAAAAGGATGAATGGTGCTTCGGGCCGTACTACGGGGAAGCCGCATTTAGCCAGATGCTGTGTCAGAGCTGTATTGTGAGCCCCTTTCTTGCTGTCAGGGCTGCAGATATGCTGCGAACCTCTGTGGCTTTGCGTGCTGCTTCTTGGCACAGGCATTTCTGCTATGAAGCTGAGACTGGGACTCGGGCACTCGGGCGCTTGAGCAGGAGATGTGAGCAGTGCTGAGGCTGCATGCTGCCATGGGCTCTGGCCATCTTCTTGTTCGCGTGAGCATGCCACTTGGCAAAGCTTTTTGGCCGGATGTGGCTGGGTGCATCTTGACACCTCAACACAAAACACGATGCCATTCATTTCTGTTACAGGGTGTGTTCTTGACATCACAAATTCGCCATTGGCTGAGGTGCTTGCTCCATGCATTCGCCCACATTTTTGGCGAGCAGGCTGATCATATTGCCTGCGATGTCTCTCGTGTATCATGATCACGTCACGACTTTCTGAGTTCTGAGCAGTGACTCTCCCAGGAGCTGCCAGCCTTTTGGCCGCTGGTCCGTGCACTCGGCGAGGACCTTCAGAAGCAGGCCACGGCTGCGTCACAAGCCTCACAGGTGATGCGTGGTTTCCTTTCGCGCTTGTTTCTCACCATGGTGCACACCCAGGGCAGGCTCAGCGCCGCGGCCACGATCTCTGCCGAAATGCTGAACTATCAGAGCGGCATCTCGTTCACATGTCTTCAGCAGGACATACTCAATCAAGAATTTGTTTGTAGGTCAGCAATGGGTCGGCAAATAACTACGTTGACTCTTTTGCAAGGCATTCGACCTGCTTACGTGCCGGCCTTGTCTTTGCATGTGGCGGCTTCGGCACAGTATGCGCCGACATCTGCTGATGCTTGGCACTGCTGGAATCATGGGCATACCGGGTGCTCCACACACATCCTCATACATCCACATTCAGAAAAGAAAGCTCAGGACGTGCTGTTCTTCCGCTTTCGGCTTCCGGGTGCTCCGGGATTCATCCGCATCCTTGAAATGCTGTCTGCCGAGGTCAGCTCATGGTTAAGTCCTGTCAGTGCTTGTATGAAAACGCCCCGAAGGTGTGAGCTGTAATGAAACATAGCTGCTGCACATGCAGCACACCATGCCAGGCGCGTGCGCAAGGCGTTAACTTCGCGAAAATCGTCATCATGGACGCCGCTTGTTTGCTGGATCATCTGAGGTGTTTTCATGCTATTTGTTTTGGGTTTTTGGGCAGAATAACCTTCTCAAGACCCTGTTGGAGTAGGCTGCTCATGGCAGGCGACACAGAAGTCTTTGAGCACCTTGGCCTGCACAACTGTGTTGCAGATAGTGGCTGCTTCCAGGGTGCCCGCATGCCGTGACCCCCGGTGCTGTGTTGACCGCGCGGCAGTATGTCATGACTTTGTGACAGTGCCCACAGATAGACAGGTGCTGCCATTCATTTGAAGTTGTCTGTCTTACAAAGGCATTCGGCAGAGTGTGCACATGTGGGTGTGCATGAGGCTTTGCAGAAATTAGCTCTTTTCGTGCTCTTGCTCTACTTCCACATGTGCCCTGCCTACACCAGCTGTTGGTGCTGTATGCTTGTGTTTCTACTATGTTCTGAAATCGGCATCGAGTGCGCAAGTGCACAAGGTTCCATATGCACAACGCTTGCCGGATGTTTTCGCGCCCAAGTCTGAGAGTGTGTCATGTGCCTCCTGGAACGAAAGCTTGATGGATCAGCAGACTCCATCCAAAGCCTCGTCGTACAGGCTGAACTCGCCGACGCTGGTGCCAGCGCTCCCATTGCTGCAGAAGCAGCTCTCACCAACATCAGCCGCAGACATGTGCTGCTGCCCCACCGTGATATTCAACGTGAACAGCACGATTGACCAGTCGATCATGCAGTGTAGACATGCAGGCCTGCCTACATAAGATGTAAGGTACGTGTGGCCCTACGCTGGACCCTTCTGTGGACGTACAGATTCAGAGCTCTCGCAGGCGCTTGATCCGACCCACGGCTTCACGTTATGAGAGACGTTCAGAGAGCCCCCTTCCAAGCCATTCAGCATGGACGTGCCATTCCAGCGTAGCGGCTTTGCATGGACGGCCCACACGCAGACATGTAGTGGCACGCAGCAGCAGTGTGCCTCTGGATCTGTAGAAAATCACATACAGTTTATGTATTTGCTTTACACGCTCACATGTGTTTCCCTTTATTGTGATGTGTCCCAGGATGGCTGCCAACACGACAAGCCATCCCTACTCACCGTTCACCTTCCAGGGCAAAATTTTCCAGCCGGACCGCTTTAATGAGGACAGACGTTGCTTGACATGTCTGTCAACTCTTTTCGGTGCATTGACTGAACCTTGAACCTCATGATGGTACTGGTCTTCTGTGTGCCACAGAGATCAAGGATTTGTGCCATCACATATTTGCATCCGAGGCTACTGGGTGCAGTATACTGAGTGGGAGCTTTGGCCACACCTAATTCGCTTCAGGAACCTCGGCAGCGATGCTACCAGAAACCAAGTATATGTCAGGACATGTCAGGACACGCCGAATTCCCAACCAATGGCAGACTGGGACTTAGGAGTGCGCGGGAGATGCTTCAACTTGCCACCATGACGCAGGCACGCAGCTGACTTCTCCGAACCTTTGTGCATGTGCTATACTGCCAGAGAGCTTTGCAGGCAGAGGCCTCTGTGATCAGCACCCGGATGCGTCAGCATCATGAGGCATGGGAGCTGCAAAGAGTGTGGTCTTCATGCGCAAGTGGGCAGCTCACAGTTTGTTTTCGAACGTTTGAGGAGCTGCGCCGCTCCTCCCTTCACTGGTGGCGTCTCGCTGCAGCAGCAGCGCTCCACTGATCAGCTCCAGAACGCCCCCCTGCACAACCGCCTCGCTGAACCAGGGTAAGCACGATATACAGGATGCCCAAGACAACTCAGGACAGAAGCACGCCTGCCCCATGCCACGCGCAATGTGGACGGGGAGTCGCGCGAAACCCTCGTCGGGCATCATCCCTGGAGATTGCCGATGCCGAGAAGTGTCCCAACCGCTCTGTGAAATCACGCTCAGGAGGTTCCGGCGAGGGCCATTGCCTGGACAGCACCACACGACAGCACGTTGCAGTGGCTGGACTTTTGCTTCAGGGCGGGCGTCCTTTCAAGCAGGGCTTTCAGATGGCCTCCCCTTGATCGCTGCCTAAAGCTTACCAGGCTTACCATTCAGGTGCAAGGCCGCAAAGGTGCTTCACGGTGCTTCATGGGTGCTCCTGCTTGTGGCGGCTGCGGCGCAGGAAGGTCCGAACGTTGCTTGCAACGTCCGCAGGTTTGCACGAACAGCAAAAGTCCGACTCGAGCATGCTCTGGATTGTTGCTTTCCGCCTCATAAAGATGTGAGCATGGACAGAGTGGCACCGTGTGAGGCCTTCGTGAATCCGAGGAGAAGTGCCTCAGCCTGGAGGCTGCTTTAGCCAGGGCCTTTGGTGTCTGGACTACCGAACATGCTGACTCTTGCCGTCAGACTTGTTTTCGAAGCATAAATCGGGGGAGTGTCTCGCCAACATGGACTCGCGACTGGTGGCTCAGGAACGCCTCAGCAGCTCGGCGTCCGTGGGATGCTTAGCTGGCAACTTGCTTCTCTGCGGTTTCGTGCGCTAGTCGAGAGCACAGCGAGCTTTAGCGAGCGCAGGCCGAAATTGAGACAGCCTCTGCACGCGTGCGAGATCTAGAGGTGGCCAAGTGCTCAGGTGCTGCATCCTTGAGAGAGGCTGTTGTGCCCAACCCGTGAATGCGAAAAGCTTGCATCTGCTCAGGAGCTTGAGAGATGGCAAGGCTGGGCCGAAGAAGAGGTCGACTGGCTCTCTTGGGATCTCTTGGGTCCCCAGTCCGATCATCAATGGCTGTACTGTAGCTGCTGTAGCTGCCACGGCGACACAAATCGCAAAAGAGCAAACGCCACAGTTGATGTCACAGAACACCTACTTGGCCGAACAGCAAGTGCACAGGTGGCCAATGCCCAACGTGACTCTGCTGCGCAGCTGTCAGTCGAGCAGCGCAGGCTCCGACCCACTGCAGCAAACAGAAGTCACGAGACCATGAAGCCACAATGGCCGATGGCATGGACAGGGTCATGTCGATGCAGAAACACATAAAGAACACCCTGAATCTAAATCTATCTCCCGGCTGCAAGGGTGGCGGAACTTGGCAAAGAGCTTCCCAGAGCCGCTGGGCAAGGGGTCAAAGTGGGGCAAGACGGTCTAGCGAGTCTGCTTGATGGTTGTGTCAAGACCCACAACGAAACAGACTGACTTGGTAGACTTAGCATGAGGATGTTCATCATTGGATGCCATGGTTGAACGTTAAGAGACTTCTGTGTGCATAGAGGCGGCTGGATCTGGCAGGTATCATAGCGTCATGCAGGCTGGCTGCTTTGATATTGTTTGAAAGGTCCGCGAGCGCCTGGCAGAAGCTGAAGCTCAGCTGCGTGCCAAGGACACATGCGCCTGCCATTCAGGGGAACAAATGTAAGCCTCTGTTACGACGATGTAGAGTTAGCCGAGCAAAGGCCAGAGCTTCCACAGTTTGTTTTTGGAAGACAGGAGTGGGAGGTGGAGCGAGGAAAGGCGGAAGCAGCGACAGCAGCGGCGAAGGCGTGCAAGGAGTATGTTACATGTCAGTATTGGGCCCATATATTGGTAGGGCACAGTGCTGAGTTGGGTTGGGTGCACTGGCTGTCGGCCCACGCTTGTTCTTGCATGAACTCCAAGCTCAATCGTGGCTAAGCTGGACAAGCCAGGGCGGCGGGGGGGGGGGGGCGGGGGGGACAGCTTAGCCAGACTGAGAAGAGTACGAGACAGCGACACATGTCCTAGAAGCGAAGCCGGGCGTAGAAGAGCCACCGTCAAGCAAGCCTTTCCAGGCTGCCGAGATGGTCCAGCAGATAGACATCACACAGCGTGAGCAACACAGTTGCATTGGGTCAAAGGAGTCAAAGGGTCAACATGTCGCTGTGGTCTTTACAAGTACTCAGATACATTTTACAACTCCCCCCCCTTCAAGGATATCTCTTTTATACTTTCAACACGATTCTTCTACGCCACACTCATTGAAGATTCGTAATTCGTAAATTTCAGCTCGAAGACGATGAGAGCCATAAATCCCAACTCCCCTGTGCAGTGCTACCTCTGAGAACCTGAAAGCCTGAAGTTCCTGAAGTCCAGAAAGATTTTATGGGAAAGGTCAACAACCCCATAAACCTTTCAAAACATTCGGATCTCGAGGCCATGACATTTTCTTAATTTCCAAAGCTTTCCGCACGCCTTACTAAGGAAGTTGCAACGTGTGGAATTTCGGATGTTCGGGAGGGCAGGCATGAGCCCTAAAAGAAGTGTAAAGTGGAAAGGACATGTCTCGTGCTGTCCGTGTTTTATTGCAGACCCGGATCGGTGAACAGCAAAGAAGCGAAACAACAAAGGACAGAAGCCGGGACAAACCGATGCACCTCATGAGCTTCAGGGCTTAGAGTCTTAATTAGGGTAAACAAGGAAGACGCAAGGGCAGAGTCCCGGCTGCCCTGGAAATCCTCAAAAAACCCGTTCCCTTCCATGGCCGCTACCGTTGCAAGTTTTCAGACAGGTGCTTGGGGAGCATGTGCAGTTTAAGCCTAGAGACTGGAGTCCACAAGTCTAGCCTGCACTAGACATGGCTACGAATGTCAAGTTTGATTTCACAGTTCCGGGGCCCCGCATCAAGAACCTTGCAAAAGCCCGATTCCAGGACTCGAACTCGACTCTTGACTCTTGGATCTTGTTTCCCGGACCCTGGAGCTTTGAACTCAACATGTTGAAATGTTCCATTGTTCAGTTCACCATCATCTCGAAAGTCCAACCGTGCATTCAAGATCGTGATGTTGGCTTGAAGGGTTTCGCCGTGAAATCGGCGGTAAGGATTTTGAAGCAGACGATACAGTCAGGATTGCAGTGTTGACAGACGAGTTGGTGGGGGTATCAGCATAGGAGAAGCTTGCCGCATCCTGATGCCACCTGCACATTCACGTTGAAATTGTCGCTGCCAGACGCCAACGAAGCACGCAAAGCTTAGGCACGAGCGCCAGATGGCGCAGTACAAGGTGCTTTGGCTGATTGCCAAGTGTATTGTTAGAATCATCCAAGATGCTAAGTTGTCATCCAAGCGTCCAGCTGGCCAACCGTCGTTCAAGTGAGGCGACTGTTGATGCAGAGCTCCGAAGTGCTGGCTCTTACGCAGTCGAGTTGGAGAGCAAGCTCAGCGTGCGGGAGCAGGCAGTGGCACAATGGACAACAATCGTTCTGCAGCCATGCGCAGACCTCGCAGACACTCTTTAGATGTGAAGATCCGAAAGCATGACGGCAGTGGATGGCATAGGCTAACATCGTTTGTGTTGTTATTGTGGTTTACATCATGTCGTGCGCTTTGTGAGTTTTGATTGTGCCGAATGAGGAACTCGAGCAGCAGCTCACCGCGGCATGGGCCAAAGCAGCCGAGCGCGAGGCAGGGAGACCTCTGAGAGATGGCTTTGCAGCTGAGTTGGCCGTCTTGCATCATCTTTGCTCATCTCTCTCCAGGCTCAGTTGCAAGCCGCAGACCAGCAGCTCCGCACAAGCCGGGCGAAAGAAAAGCAGTTGGAAAGCAGGCTTGGACGCACCGTTCGAATGCACGCGAATGCCATGCATGCCGAGATCGGACAGCCGATACGACAAGCAACAAAGGGTCTGCCGGCACAAGGGCTTCATTGTCGAAGCTTAAGCTGGTGTATAGTGAAGGCTGGCGGAGCTCAGCAAGGATGCACCCCGCGTCACACTGCTGCAGGGAGTGCTGGAGTCATGGAGGAGTCTTCTGCGAGCGTCCCTGCGGCGACTTTGATGCTTCGCTTTGCTTAGGCCCAGGCCCGCGTGGCGGATTTGGAGTCTCAGCTCCAGGCATCCTCAAAGCGACGTGGCACCAAGGGACACCAGCTGACATGCTCGGATTTTCGCTTTGGAAGCCCATTCTTGACATGCCCGTGACAGAAGTGGAAGCGAAGTCTAGCACTGCCAAGAATAAGAATGAACGTCTCCGGTCCGAGTGCGCTGTTTGCCCCTGCAGCATCAGACGTAGCGTTGCTTATGTCGGGAACTTGTCAACCATGCAGCCCTCATGAGGCAACGGATGGCGGCATCTTGGCTCGCATGCTGAGCTGGAGTTGTGCAAGACTTGCTGAAGCAGCGAGAGCATGCAATACGTGAGAACCCCAAATTCAGCCGGCGCCTTCCGACGAATGATCTCGAAGGGTGCATCCATGCATCCAAATAACCACACAGGAATGCTTAAGCTTTCACAGCGACTGCTGCTGCTGCTGCTGCTGCTGCTGCTGCTGCTGCTGCTGCTGCTGCTGCTGCTGCTGCTGCTGGAAAGGGCCATCAGAGGCCTCCATGGACGGAGCGAGCTGAAGCATAGAAGCGAAGGGACCCTTTTGGGGAAATGTATTGAAGTCATCTGCAGCACACCGAACTGCCTGGGTGTTCCAGCGGTTGGCAGTTAGCCCCCAGCTACCCGCGTTTCCCCATGCTTAGATACAAGGGTTCGGCCATGTTTCGTACTGCTCCCTCTTGTCCGCTTGTCATCCAGGCTGCTGTCCAAAGTCAGCATAACAATCGTTGCAATTCCACCATGAATGTCACGAGAGCAAGCTCCATTGGAGATTTCGCGGTCGTTCTTCCAGGCACTACGGAGCTGTAAGTGTTGGCCCGAAAACGCCCGGAATCTGTTCCAATATGTCCCGGCGGAGCCTTGTGCCCCCCCTCAAAAGAGAGTATGCATTATGCAATCATTATGCAATTTATATA